AGTAAGCTGCTGACTTAATTAGTTTATTGGTAGGGTTATTAAAGGGACGTTTATCAGTTGATTTGGAGATTTCCCCAAAGATGTTACTGTCTATAGGGAGTCTTTGGATGGTCTGTGGAGTCTTGGTCTCTGAATACCTCTCTGCACACCTTACCGGATAAGAAGACAAAATGGGAGTTTGTTGGTGTATAGTGTCAACATGTAATGTTAAATTCCTCTTAAGTATAGTTTAATTGTATTGCAGGCTAGTTTCAAAGAGATGTGGCAAAAGTTGTGAAAGCAACCATTCTCAATTAAAACATATTTATTATAATGACACACACACAAATTTCTTAAATATACCATAACTCTAGCGTAAGCTTCCTTCGTGTTCGTGTTCCTGCCTGCGTACGTGATATAATCTGACTTAAAGGATCACCATAGGGTCAGGAACACAAACATGTATTCCTGACCCTATAGTGTTAAAACCACCATCTAGCCCCCCTGGGCCCCTCATGCCTCCATAAATATAGCAAAATCTTACTGTATTCAAGCCTGAAGCTGAAACTCTGCATGCGGTTACACTCAGAAAAACAAGCAGTCTGCTGACATCATCAGAAGTGGTAGCCTGATCCAATAACAGTGCTTCCCCATAGGATTGGCTGAGACTGACAAAGAGGCAGAGCCAGCATGATTCAAACACAGCCCTGGCCAATCAGCATCGTATTGATTCAATTCATCTCTATGAGGAAAGTTCAGTGTCTGCATGCAGAGGGAAGAGACACTGAATGTTTGGATGCATTTTAGGCAGCCATGACCCAGGAAGGATCTCTAACAGCCATCTGAGGAGTGGCCAGTGAAGTTATCACTAGGATGTAATGTAAACACTGCATTTTCTCTGAAAAGACCATGCTTACAGCAAAAAGCCTGAAGGTAATGATTCTACTCACCAAAACTAATTCAATAAGCTGTAGTTGTTCTGGTGACTATAGTGTCCCTTTAATAAAACATGAGGCATGATTAGGTCTTTGAACTGCAGAGGATCTCTGGGCTGAATATTCACTGTTGGATGGTGTCTGAAAATTCCTGTGAACTAGAACATGGCAGAGCGACCACTGAGTTATTCGGAACACCCGGTACATGGATCCAGTATAATGAGAACTGTAGTTTAGCTGCTAACTCAGTCAGTTTCTTAGTAAATTCATGATATTGAGAGATTGTTTGACTGGTCTTTATAATGATGTCTTAAGCTGCCACGTTAACAGAAAACCTCTAACTGCTTTCCTTTCTTACTCGTTACCCCATATATGTGCTGTTACTATTATGGGAAAGACTGTGAACAATGCTGACGTTTGATTAAAGTTATCTAGAATGGCAGTTTCTGGTGGCCATGTAGCTTGTACCCAATAGTCACCGTATATAGCCGCATAACCCATGGCTCCTGCTGCGTTAGTCCATATTACCCTAGCTCAGGGGTAGGCAACCAACGGCACTAGTGCCATGCACGGCACTCGAGGTGTCTTTGCACGGCACTCAAGGCTGCTAGAGCCAAACAGGCTCTGGCTATCAGGAGTCCCAGTAAAACGTCAGATATCTGCTAATACGAAGAGGTGGTGAAGGACAATCCTCAATTTATGCATTGCAGCACGTAGAGTAAGTGATCTCAGATCACTGCCTCCCAGCACTTGTGAATGGGAATCCACACTGTAGTAGAGCAGCCCGCAGCTGCTGTTGCAGCTCCTGTCCTTGACCTGTACCTGGCCAGCCTGGTCCCCACTGGAACCCAGGAAAGCCACCCACACTGCTAGATATACAGAGAAATGCAGAATAACCCTCCCCTCATACAAATAATACGGACAGCCCACACACAAACATACACACAATCCGCACAAATGTAACACCACTAACAATCCACATACATGCACACAACGCCACATGCAGCCTTTCACATGCAATACCCCAAACAGCCCCACACACACACAATGTGACATATCCATCCACACACACAATTCCACAAGCAGCCCCCATACACAGCCCACATTCATACGTATCATACACGATACCACAAACTACTCCTGAACATATAGAATATAATAGCTCCTGTACGCACAAATACAACGATACAAAGCAATTACAGTAAAAATAACACAAGCAGAATACGGCAGCACACACACCTCAATTTAAAAAAATAGGACCGGCACGCTACTGGACATCACAATCCTATATCGGCACAGTGCTGCTAAAAGGTTGCCTACCCCTGCCCTAGCTGGATCGTCTAAATAAATCTAGAGTTATCATGTGGCAGTCCGTGTAGCAGTGAAAGTAGTCTAGAGATAAAGGCCCTGCCCTGAGGAATGATCCTTGTAACAAAGTTGAGAGAACCTAACAGTGCTTGTAATTCCTTCTAATGCCGGATCACGAGTGCTGCAGGAATTGATGTATGTCAGAATTCTGTCTATTTCCTGAGGCAGGTAAGCTTACATGGATTCAGAATTTAGAGTAATACCCAGGAAGTTATTTCCGTATTGGGCCTTTCTGTTTTGTCTGCAGCTACCTGAATTCCTAATTCCTTGAAAAAGAGGGTCTAGTAGACTGGTTGGTGTGGCGTAGTGAGATTCAATTTAAGAGGAAATCGTCAAGGTAGTGTATCAACGCTGGACCCTGTGTTTGTTAAGTAAGAGTTTAGAAATGGATATTCCTTATTTGATATTAATATTTGTAAGATAATAAAGCGTTTATTAGACCACATGGACAGAGTGATTGGTGCCTGTGCTATTTTGAGAGTTATTATCTTGCTTTAAGATCTATTGTTATTTTGCCGGCATGTGTTACTGCCATGTTAAGGTTTCAGTGAAAATGTCAAAACTTTGGGCTACTATTGGAACCAAAAGTCAGACTTGTAGAAAGTAGTATTGGTCTTCCGATTTCCCGCCATGCAAGCGCCAGAGTGATAGATGTATTGAGAGAAGTTTAAAGGCATTTGATGTCCATTTTGCTCATCCAGGCTCCTTTACTGGTTCCGATTATAACTTGAATAGCATCGCCTACCTGTGTATTGTAAAGAAAAGTCTTCCAAAGATATTAAAGTGTATTGTTTATGATGTGATTGATATGGTATAATATTTAAACCATGACAAAGTGGAATATATCGGGTAGAATATCTCGATATATATACAAATCCAGTTCCTCTCTGCGGTGAGGATCCGAGGAGCAAGTCACATCCCTAAATAAGCCAAAAGCTAAATGAATTCTGGAATATTTTGTTTCTTGTTAAGTCTGGGATCTCGCCAAAGGTGTAAGACCTGTTTTGATTATGTCCTGTGCAGCAATGAGTAGAAAGGCCAAATTAACGCCTTTACCCTCTAAAAGGTCACGTTTTGTATCTTGAGGGATTAGAAGTACGGATAGTGGTTTCCAGATTGTCCAACCTGTTATTAATAGTAGCTAACTAGCTATGGAAGCCACCAGAGATGAGACCATATTATGTAGTTCTTTTAAGCTATTTTTAATTTATTTATTTGCATTTACTATTGTTGCCAGGCCTCTCGTATTGTTGTTGTTTTTTTATCTGAAACAGTTCAGCATCCCTAGCTGTAGCTGAAAAAGGGAATGATCTTTTTTTTACATTTGCTATAATTTGGGGTATTTTCCATGATCTGGGGTGCTGGTAAGCGAGCGGTAGTTTCGGAGTAGCGAGGCGTTAGACATACTATGGGTTTAAAGGAAACAAATTGATTATTGAAGTGTAAGGTGATAGGTTTGGTGACAGTTGAGGCCCTAACTAATTGCCAAGTGGCTTGAGACTCTCTACCTATGATTTGGCGCGTGGGCTTTTTTGATGCCACTGACATAAGTGGCGGGGTATTGACCTCTCGGTGACGTTTACCAGATTTAAGATAGATTGGCCATGACAGGTGAGGCCCTGACTATAACATAATGCAAAGCTTTAACTATGCGTTGGGCCGTTGGGCTCGTACCTCCAAGCATGAGGATGGGAGTTGACCTTGCGGGATCACTTCAACTAAGGCGAAGAAGCCTATGACATTTTTTACCTAGTTGGCGAGAACTTTCAGGAGGTTACTTCACACCTAACAATGGTTTGGAGAAGTTCCTATAGATCATTTTTTATAACCTTGGCATTTGTAAATGTTTCATATGCTTGTATAAAGCTAAAAAGAACTAGCACAACAATACAAACTTACAGTTTTATTTAGATGACGAGGGAAATAAAATGATGCTAAAATTTGCTACCAGTATTTCTTAAAGGAAATTCCTGAGCTACAGCGAGTTATAATGAGATTCTCCCCCAGGAAGGATTAGGCGGGAATGAGGAAAAGGAGACGGAAGGGAAAAGGGGGAAAAAAAGGGAGAAAGAAATAGAGAGAGAAAGAAAATATAACATAAAATTATTGAAATGTGCATTATTATTTGAGAATTCATTGAATTTCCTATTTCACCTGGTATTAACGATTATTTTGAACCGTTAAATTGTTAACTATTTAGTGAACCTTCCCCCGAGACGGATGACATACGGCATATTTAGAGTATAAATAAGAATTCACATAAATAATAGTCAGACAGTAATGCATGAAACCTGGTGAATTGTCATAGTGCTCTTTATACAGGGTACACACACTATACAGAGAGCTATTTATACAGGGTACACTCACACTATACAGAGAGCTATACAGTGGTATAGTATGATATATAATAGCAGTATTATAGTATGATATATAATAACAGTATTATAGTATGATATATAATAACAGTGGTATAGTATGATATATATAATAGCAGTATTATAGTATGATATATAATACCAGTAGTATAGTATGATATATAATAACAGTATTATGGTATGATACATATAATAACAGTAGTTTAGTATGATATATAATAGCAGTATTATAGTATGATATATAATAGCAGTGGTATAGATTGCTACATATAATATCACTTTGTGTCTCTGGCTGTTATTCAATAAACATTTGATACATTGTGACAATGTTAGCCCCGCCCCCCGGGGAGCCACCTGGATCTGCAGACAGACTGAGGTTAGAGGGGCAGGGGGCGCTGGGGACATGGATTGGGGGACGGGAGGCTACAAACTTTGTAAATAAGTTACGTTTAGGGGGCGGAGACACAGTAACCCGGAAATACCCCACCACAACCAGCCCATGTGCCCCCTAGAAACCTCCTCTGGCTGGCACGTGGTGTCTCCCTTTATACTGTATCAGGTGATTGTATAAAGAGCTCTCTGTATAGTGAGTGTACCCTGTATAAGGAGCTCTCTGTATAGTGAGTGTACCCTGTATAAAGAGCTCTCTGTATAGTGAGTGTATCCTGTATAAGGAGTTCTCTGTATAGTGAGTGTATCCTGTATAAGGAGCTCTCTGTATAGTGAGTGTACCCTGTATAAGGAGCTCTCTGTATAGTGTGAGTGTATCCTGTATAAAGAGCTCTCTGTATAGTGTGAGTGTATCCTGTATAAAGAGCTCTCTGTATAGTGAGTGTATCCTGTATAAAGAGCTCTCTGTATAGTGTGAGTGTATCCTGTATAAAGAGCTCTCTGTATAGTGTGAGTGTATCCTGTATAAAGAGCTCTCTGTATAGTGAGTGTATCCTGTATAAAGAGCTCTCTGTATAGTGTGAGTGTATCCTGTATAAAGAGCTCTCTGTATAGTGTGAGTGTATCCTGTATAAAGAGCTCTCTGTATAGTGAGTGTATCCTGTATAAAGAGCTCTCTGTATAGTGTGAGTGTATCCTGTATAAAGAGCTCTCTGTATAGTGTGAGTGTATCCTGTATAAAGAGCTCTCTGTATAGTGAGTGTATCCTGTATAAAGAGCTCTCTGTATAGTGTGAGTGTATCCTGTATAAAGAGCTCTCTGTATAGTGTGAGTGTATCCTGTATAAAGAGCTCTCTGTATAGTGAGTGTACCCTGTATAAAGAGCTTTCTGTATAGTGTGAGTGTATCCTGTATAAAGAGCTCTCTGTATAGTGAGTGTATCCTGTATAAAGAGCTCTCTGTATAGTGAGTGTACCCTGTATAAAGAGCTTTCTGTATAGTGTGAGTGTATCCTGTATAAAGAGCTTTCTGTATAGTGTGAGTGTACCCTGTATAAAGATCACTCCTCCCTCCCATATATCTGAATCAATGTTACAATGTTATTTTGTAGTGCAAATTGTGATTACATTATTTCTATGTATCTTCATTAAAAAGCTTACAATCTTATATTAAAAAAAGTACTGTGTCCATGTTGCAAAAATTTAAGTCTCTCTAGATCTCCCCGTGCACACATTGCAGCCACAGACATTCCTTTGTACTCCATATATTATTAACATGTCCTCCTGTACCCCACACATTGCAGGTTTAGACCCCTCATACCCCTCACATTGCAGGTTTAGACCTCTGGAACCCCTCACATTGCAGGTTTAGACCCCTTGTACCCCACATATTGCAGGTTTAGACCTCTGGAACCCCACACATTGCAGGTTTAGACCCCTCGTACCCCTCACATTTCAGGTTTAGACCCCTTGTACCCCTCACATTGCATATTTAGACCCTTTGTATCCCACACATTGCAGGTTTAGCCCCCTTGTATCCCACACTGCTGGTTTAGACCTCTGGAGCCCCTCACATTGCAGGTTTAGACCCCTTGTACCCCACACATTGCAGGTTTAGACCTCTGGAGTCCCTCTCATTGCAGGTTCAGACCTCTGGAGCCCCTCACATTGCAGGTTTAGACCCCTGGAACCCCTCACATTGCAGGTTTAGACCTCTGGAGCCCCTTATATTGCAGGTTTAGATCCCTGGAGCCACACATTCTAGGTTTACGCCCTTCGTACCCCACACATTGTAGCCACATACACCCTCACCCCCATATATTGCCAGCTCAGCACACCCAGCCTGTCAGTTCAGAGATAAAGCTCAGAGGAGACAGAAGGCACTCTGTCATCCTGATAGTAGAATGTCCCAGCTCGATCCTCTGAACCCTGGAGCCAGTGAAACCCCCTGCAAGCATGGACTCCCTGGTAAGATTCCCTCGCTTCCATGAAAATAATCTATGTGGCATCATAGTCACTCACCTGGCATAACACACTGATAGCATCTTTCCTGGCACAACATTATACAATGATAGCATGGATGTTGTGGGGGGTTGGATGGACAGTGTGCTGGGTTTGTGTGGTACGTGAGATGGAGAGTGTGGTGGGTTTGTATGGAATATTAGATGGAGAGTGTGCTGGGTTTGTGTGGTGCGTTGGATGGAGAGTGCGGTGGGTTTGTGTCATGCATTGGATGGAGAGTGTGCTGGGTTTGTGTGGTACGTGAGATGGATTGAGTGGTGGGTTTGTGTGGTGCGTTGGATGGAGAGTGTGGTGGGTTTGTGTGGTACATTAGATGGAGAGTGTGCTGGGTTTGTGTGGTACGTGAGATGGAGAGTGTGCTGGGTTTGTGTGGTGCTTTGTATGGAGTGTGGAGGGTTTGTGTGGTATGTTGGATGGAGAGTGTGGTGGGTTTGTGTGGTGCGTTGGATGGAGAGTGTGGTGGGTATGTGTGGTACGTTGGATGTAGAGTGTGGTGAGTTTGTGTGGTGCATTGGATGGAAAGTGCTGGGTTTGTGTGGTACGTTACATGGATAGTATGGTGGGTTGGATAACAGCATGGTGCGTCTGGGTGGTACGTTGGATGGACAGTGTGGTGGGTTTGGGCGGTGCATTGGATGGACAGTGTGGTGGGTCTGGGCAACTTGTTTGGCGGTGCATGGGAAGGATCAAGTTGTGCGTATTGATTAGGTATTGGCACGTGTGCAGCATGTTTCCAGAATCGATATAAAGTTCTTAGGATATAACTTTATTATCCATCCTAATGTTTTGTCCTAAACACCTTATTCATTGCAATATCTGTTGTTTTATAATGTTACTTTTCAGTAGTGTTTATATTTCATTCTTCTTTCATTTTTTCAGATATGGTGGAGTCTGACATGGAGAAGCCCCTGCTGGGGGTAGGTAATGCTAAACATGCTTCATCGTATGACTTGTCGTGTGGAGACACTGTTGGCATTCTGGGTACCGGTGACTTTTCTCGATCTCTGGCAATTCGATTATTGCACTCAGGGTTCAAAGTGGTGATTGGAAGCCGGAATCCAAGACGCAGCTCAGGGCTTTTTCCGGAGGAGGTGGAGGTGGTATTGCAGGAGGAGGCAGTAAAGAGGGTCGAGCTGCTGTTTGTTGCCATGTTCAGAGACCATTATTCCACTCTAAGCAAGTTCTCAGAGGAGCTGTCCGGCAAGGTTCTAGTGGACGTCAGTAATAATCTGGAGACGAACCTTCACAGACAATCCAATGCAGAGTATCTGGCATCTCTTTTCCCAAAATGTCATGTGGTAAAGGGATTCAATGTAGTGTCAGCCTGGGCCTTGCAGTCTGGACCCAAGGATGGTAATAAGCAGGTAAAGCATTCACATATGATAAAGCAATAAAATATTGGGTGCAAAGTCATAAATAACGACAAGTGCAGTGTCTTCTCCTCTCTATGGGGTGTTTGTCAATGCATTGAACAGATGGTGTGGTCAGTCTGGGTGATTTGATGTGTCTGCCGGTGCGATGGTCGGATGGTGCGGTCAGTCTGGGTGATTTGATGTGTCTGCCGGTGCGATGGTCGGATGGTGCGGTCAGTCTGGGTGATTTGATGTGTCTGCCGGTGCGATGGTTGGATGGTGCGGTCAGTCTTGGTGATTTGATATGTCTGCCGGTGCGATGGTCAGATGGTGCGGTCAATCTGGGTGATTTGATTTCTCTGTTGGTGCATTGGTTGGATGGTGCGGTCAGTGTGGGTGATTTGAAGTGTCTGTCGGTGTGATGGTTGGATGGTGTGGTCAGTCTAGGTGATTTGATGTGTCTATTGGTGCGGTCAATCTGGGTGATTTAATTTCTCTGTTGGTTGGATATTGCGGTCAATCTGGGTAATTTGATTTCTCTGTTGGTTGGATGGTGCGGTTAGTCTGGGTGATTTGATGTGACTGTTGGTGTGATGGTTGGATGGTGCAGTCAGTCTGGGTGATTTTGATTTGTCTGTTTCAATTTCTTTGAATCAAACCAGTTTTATAAAATGTACATAGAAAATATAGGCTAAATAAAAAATGTGTTAATAAATGTTTGCTACACTTACTACCAGATGCTGCAGTAAATCCTGCCGTCATGAAGGTACTGATCTAAGTTTTCGATTTCAGGTTTTGATCTGCTCCAACAGTCCAGAAGCTAAAAACCACGTGGTGTCCATTGCTCGCCGGATGGGATTTATTCCGGTGGACATGGGAGCTTTGTGCTCTGCTGGTGAGATTGAGAATATTCCTCTCCGTCTTCTGCCATTGTGGAAGATTCCTGTCATCCTCACTATATGCCTTTTCACATTCTTCTATTGTTACAATTTTGTGCGTGGAGTCCTGCACCCGTACCTCGTGGAAAACAAGAATGAATTCTACAAGATGCCAGTCAAGGTAGTGAACACCTCCATCCCGTGTGTCTCCTATGTCCTCCTGTCGTTGGTTTACCTGCCAGGAATCTTGGCAGCATTTTACCAGCTGCACTATGGCACCAAGTACCGTCGTTTCCCTGACTGGTTGGATGAGTGGCTTCGGCTCAGAAAGCAGATCGGACTGGCATCCTTCTACTGTGCTTCTTTACATGCTGTGTACAGCCTGTGTCTTCCAATGCGCAGGTCAGCGAGGTTCCAGATCCTCAACGATGCCGTGAAGCAGGTGAGAACCAACATGAAATAATCCTACTACAAACACAGAGTTTGGCCCTTAGCAGGCACCATCATACAGGGGGAGCATTTATACATTTGTTGCTACTGAAAAGTGGGACAAAGCTCTAAAAGTAAAAAAAAAAAAAAAAGACCATAGAAACCAATAGAATGTTCCACCTGGTTTTATTTTTGGATGATTAGAACTTTTCTCCTCCTTTCTGTTGGTGAATTGTTATATTGAGGGTGGGAAGCCATCAAAGTATTATTGTCTGACATTGCACAGAAATTGCTAACCTGCGTCTATGTAGGTAAGACACCCCGCCATGACACAGGTGGGATCATGGGCCTCTAGACGCCCCTCAACTCTCCTGTAATTGATAGATAAAAATGTGATAAGTGAGGCACTCAGGTGACCTAGTGTAAGAGCTTCTACAAGACCAGTGTGAGTCCTTCCAAACACTACACGCTAAACAGAGATTACAGTGATTATATAAAAAGAAAATGTACCCTTAAACCCCTATCAGATGAGGGCATTCCAAATTCTACTTAAAGAAAATACTACAATATAGTGTAATACTGCCTGCCACTCACATAATATTGAGCCTTACCTGGATCAGTTCGAATCACTGTGGCCGGTGTGTTCTATGGTGACACTGAGCCTCCTCACTCCTTGGATTACTGAGAGGAGATACAACCTGTAGTGCAGCTTCTATAGGGGTAAAATTAGTGGCTCACCGTTCATAGAGCCCCCCAGACATGGCTCTAGGCCACCACCCTGCTTTAATATGGATCACAGCCGACAAGAGGGACCCAGTACTCCAAAATATAAAGAAAAATAAATAAATATAAAGTGCAGTAAAGATATAGAGATCTGGGGGAAAGTCCAAGGATTTCCATATCTCTACTTACTATTTATTTGTATTTTTAGTCCTGCGGCTCCAATGTTACACGCAGTGTACACTATAATGGAATAATCTCACCTGGTAGAGAAGTAAGAGTGCATTATAATTTTTAAATACCAGCCCTCCATTAATTAACCACTGTTGGTTGTAGTCACTCACCACCCACTTGCTGTATCTGTTTCTCCTGAAAATCATCCCTCGAGGATTCCGGATTCTATGAGATCTGAAAGAAGTAGAAGGTATGCGCCACTTGCCCACCCGTTCTATGTAGCGATAAAATATAACAGAATACAAACCTCGTAGACAGTCATTCATGGTGACCCGGAGTGCTGTAACTGTGAACATAAGCACTGGCAGAATTGGTTCTTAAACCTCATACATGGTACATTTAAAGTTTTTACATTTTAAGAAATGAAAAAATTGTGCAGTAAAGTCTTAGCCTCGTGTGGCACCCAAGAGTTCCTGGTAATGTCTAAGGACACACAATCGGTGCATTCGTAGCCACAGGGTTATAACTGGAGGATTCTGTTAGACACTCCCAAGTCCAGAGAGGTAAATCAGGTGAACAAACATATGTCTAACCCCAGGTGGGTGTGCCTATAGGTGGATTATTCTTAGCCCACTCGAGGTAGGTGTCCCGATAGGTAGATCATTCCTAGCTCACTCAAGGTAGGTCTCCCGATAGGTAGATCATTCCTAGCTCACTCAAGGTAGGTGTCCCAATAGGTAGATCATTCCTAGCTCACTCGGGGTAGGTGTCCCGATAGGTAGATCATTCCTAGCTCACTCGAGGTAGGTGTCTTGGTAGGTAGATCATTCCTAGCTCACTCAAGGTAGGTGTCCCGATAGGTAGATCATTCCTAGCTCACTCAAGGTAGGTGTCCCGATAGGTAGATCATTCCTAGCTCACTCGAGGTAGGTGTCCCGATAGGTAGATCATTCCTAGCTCACTCGAGGTAGGTGTCTTGGTAGGTAGATCATTCCTAGCTCACTCGAGGTAGGTGTCCCGATCGGTAGATCATTCCTAGCTCACTCAAGGTAGGTGTCTTGGTAGGTAGATCATTCCTAGCTCACTCGAGGTAGGTGTCCGATAGGTAGATCATTCCTAGCTCACTCGAGGTAGGTGTCCCGATAGGTAGATCATTCCTAGCTCACTCGAGGTAGATGTCCCGATAGGTAGGTCATTCCTAGCTCACTCGAGGTAGGTGTCTTGGAAGGTAGATCATTCCTAGCTCACTCGAGGTAGGTGTCCCGATAGGTAGATCATTCCTAGCTCACTCAAGGTAGGTGTCCCGATAGGTAGATCATTCCTAGCTCACTCGAGGTAGGTGTCCCGATAGGTAGATCATTCCTAGCTCACTCGAGGTTGGTGTCCCGATAGGTAAATCATTCCTAGCTCACTCGAGGTAGGTGTCTTGGTAGGTAGATCATTCCTAGCTCACTCGAGGTAGGTGTCCCGATAGGTAGATCATTCCTAGCTCAGTCGAGGTAGGTGTCTTGGTAGGTAGATCATTCCTAGCTCACTCGAGGTAGGTGTCCCGATAGGTAGATCATTCCTAGCTCACTCGAGTTAGGTGTCTTGGTAGGTAGATCATTCCTAGCTCACTTGAGGTAGGTGTCTTGGTAGGTAGATCATTCCTAGCTCACTCGAGGTAGGTTTCCCGATAGGTAGATCATTCCTAGCTCATTTGCGGTAGGTGTCCCGATAAGTAGATCATTCCTAGCTCATTCGAGGTAGGTGTCCCGATAGGTAGATCATTCCTAGCTCACTCGAGGTAGGTGTCCCGATAGGTAGATCATTCCTAGCTCACTCGAGGTAGGTGTCCCGATAGGTAGATCATTCCTAGCTCATTCGAGGTAGGTGTAGCGGAGGAGCAGGGGTTAATCCAATAGCTCTCCGCTGGGAACAAAGATTCAGCATACAAAATCACAGGAACACAGCATAATCCACCTCCCCAAGGACTAGACGACACATAGTCTGGGAGTCAACTGTCAGCTTTAATCACAGGTCTGCTTTTATGCATTTCTCCCATGCAAGGGAGGTAACTTTCATAATTTGTACAGTAACCAATTGTAACCCGGTCACCTCCCCTCACTCTCCTCCCCTTAGATTAGCACTTAAACCACTTAGTGGGGACAGAGTTTTCCCCACTTTCTGGATGTCCCCTAAATACATGGGGTACAGGGACAAATAAGGGGTCCCTAGGTAGGTCTGATCTGGGTGAGCAACATACTTGAAATTCACCCAGATCGGACCAGGGGTTCGGGAGTTACAGCCTGTTAAAGTTTTGACCGACCGCAGGGACTCAGTAGCCGAAAACAGTTCCATGCATTCTGGCCCTGCGGTCGGTCTATTTCAATGAACCACAAATACTGAACGGTTAGCCATCCATACGATTGCTACCATTCGTATGATTCCCCTCGTTTAGGGGAATCTATCTACGGAACGCCGGGGCGATCGTGTGTTAGCTTTGTATTGTCGGAGCACGCTGGAGGTCTTAGCGGTGCTTGGTTAGTCGAATGCTCGGTTTGAGTTCCAGGCGTTCGACAACCAAGTACCGCTGTTCGTGCGTAAGATGGCAGCCGCCACGTGTTCGGTAGGCGAAATGGCGGCCACACATACTGGTACTTAATTCCCTTCGCAACAATGTATCATTCTGTTAATGGGAAACACACGACCACCCCGGGGTGGTCGTCCGTTCGGTAGTTTCATACATTCGAATAAACACATTACAATACTATTAAAATCCATTTGTGTGGTTATTCCCTTGGTGAATTGCACCTATTCACACAGAATAGTTAGTCCAAGTGGCAGGGTTTGCCACAATGCTCCCCCAGAACCAAGCCGGCATACACAGTCTGATCCCAACGGATCGGCTTGGGGATGTCCGGGAGAGTGCTCACAGATCATTTTTCCAGTTCTGTCTGTCGGGACAACCCGTCGGCATTACCATTTTGTACTGGATGGTGAAATCAAAGGGCTGCAGCGCCAAGCTCCATCTCAACAGTCTAGCATTGTCCCGACACCTGGTTTAGCCACACCAACGGGTTGTGATCTGTGAGCACGGCAAATTGTTGTCCATATAAGTAGGGCTGGAGTTTCTTGAGGGCCCACACTACCGCCAGGCATTCCTTCTCGATGGCGGCATAGCTTACTTCTCTGGGTAGGAGTTTCCGACTTAAGTAAGCGATGGGATGTTCGCCGCCATTGGCCCCGACCTGGCTCAGCACTGCTCCCAATCCAAACATAGAAGCGTCTGTATGAACGAGAAAGCGTTTAGTTGGATCGGGAGCGGCAAGTACAGGTGCATGAATTAGGGCAGTTTTCAGTTCTTGGAATGCCTTCTCACACTCTGGGCTCCAGGTCACTACTTTGGGCAGGTTCTTCTTTGCTAGGGCGCTATAACTGGGTACAAATTTACGGTAATAACCGGCGGTCCCTAAGAAAGCTAAAAGCTGGGTTTTCGTGCGAGGGGTCGGCCACTTAGCTACGGCCTATATGAGTTAAATGTTCGTCCCAGGAGTTACTAAAGATCGCTATATCGTCTAAATAGGCGCAAGCGTACTCCTGGGACCCGTCCAGTAGCCGATCTACCATCCGCTGAAAGGTAGCCGGCGCATTCTTCATCCCGAATGGCATTACCTTAAATTGGTATAGCCCAAACGGAGTGACGAAGGCGGACTTTGGGATGGCATCTTCGGCTAGTAGGATCTGCCAGTATCCTTTGCACAAGTCTATTGTGGTGAGATACTGGCCCCGGGCCATTTTATCTAGGAGCTCATCGATTCTAGGCATAGGGTAGGCATCAGAGATTGTTTCATCGTTAAGTTTCCGGTAGTCAACGCAGAAGCGGGTGGTTCCGTCCCGCTTCGGCACCAGTACTACCGGAGAGGCCCATGGGCTATCTGAGTGTTCTATCACTCCTAGCTGTAGCATTTCGTCATTCTCCTTCCGCATATGATCTTTCACAGATTCGGGTATGCGGTAGGGGGTTTGCCGAAGAGGGTGTTGCCCTGGGGTTTCTACTCTGTGGGTAGCCAGGGGGGTATATCCGGGCTGGTTGGAAAATGTATCCCCTTTCTCTCGGATTAGCTCTAGTATTTGAGCTCGCTCTCTAGTACTCAGCCTGTCTCCTAGCTGTACTTCCCCTAATTCTGTGTCAGGCCCCCCCTTTTCTAATAGGTCCGGTAGCGGTAAGTTGTCTGGGTCCTCGGCAACCGAAGCACATATGGCAGTTACTTCCTCTGTCCGCTCGTGATACGGCTTCAACATGTTAACGTGGAGCATGCGCCTACCGCCCGCTCCCGTACATGGGGCAATTATATAAATGGTGTCACATACCTGTTCCACCACTTTATAAGGTCCCTGCCATGAGGCCTGCAGTTTGTCATTTTGGACCGGCTTCAAGATTAGCACCTTTTGCCCTATTTGAAAACTGCAGTCCCTGGCTCCCCTATCGTACCATCTGCGCTGTCGTTGCTGGGCCGCCTGGAGATTAGACCGTACCATCTGGATTAGGGTCTCCAAGCGCTCCGTGAACTCTAGCACATATGGGACGATAGGGGTACCGTTACAGGTGACAGTCCCTTCCCAGTGCTCCCTAATGAGGTCCAAGGGACCCCGCACTCTCCTTCCGAATAGTAATTCGAAGGGCGAGAACCCTGTGGACTCCTGGGGTACCTCTCGGTAAGCGAAGAGCAGATGGGGGAGAAACCTCTCCCAGTCCTTCTGGGTATCCATGAACGTACAGAGCATTTGCTTTAATGTTCGGTTGAAACGTTCACAGAGCCCATTGGACTGAGGGTGATACGCTGAGTTTACAATAGGTTTCACCCCACATGTTCTCCATAACTGGTGAGTGACTTCAGCCGTGAATTGGGTACCCCGATCTGAGATAATCTCCTTAGGAAACCCCATTCTGGAGAATATCCGGATCAGGGCATCCACTATAGTTTCGGCATGGATATTAGTTAGGGCCACTGCCTCTGGGTACCGGGTAGCATAATCTACTACTGTTAAGATGTACTTTTTCCCGGACGGACTGGGTTTTGCTAGGGGTCCAATTATATCAACAGCTACCCTACTAAAGGGCTCCTCTATTATGGGAAGGGAGTGCATTTTTGCCTTGTATCGGTCTCCTCTCTTCCCTACCCTCTGGCACGTATCGCAAGTTTGGCAATATTGCCGGATATCTTTGGACACCCCTGGCCAAAAGAAGTTTTGGGTCAAACAGTGTTTTGTCCTACTGATGCCTAGGTGTCCTGACAAAGGGATGTCGTGGGCAATATGCAATAATGCCTGTCTGTACTTTTTGGGTACTACTAATTGCGTGAGGGTCATGGGTACAGATCCTGCTACTACCTTCTCGGCGTGTCGGTATAGTAATCCTTTCTCCCAAGCATATCTCTCCCCCTCCAACCCCGCCTGATTCTGCGTAACCTTATCCCGGTATACCTGCAAAGACGGGTCGGTGACTACTTCAGTACCAAATTCTAAGGGGGGAGCCCAGGGGACAAAAGGGGGTGTAGGACTGTTGCTTACCTGAGCCTCATTGTGTTCAGAAGATGTGGTAGTGCGAGCCTGCTGCCGTGTTACAACGGGTAGTGCTTCCTGCGTGGGGTGCTGAGAAACAAAAGCGGAGGTCAGCTCCCCCAAGTCGTTGCCCAGGATGACATCAGCGGGTAGATCCTGCATGAGGCCCACTTCCACATTCCCTGACCCCGCTCCCCAATCCAAATGTACCTTGGCAGTAGGAATTTTGTAAATAGCTCCCCCTGCCACCCGAACGGCCACATATTCTCCAGTGAGCTGGTTCTTGGGAACTAAGTGATTGCGCACCAGAGTTATGGTGGCCCCAGAGTCGCGCAGACCCTGGAGGCGCTTTCCCTCTACGTGCACCCCTTGGCAGTGTCCCTGCCGGTTGTCTGCAGCCGCTTGTATTGGGTTGGCCTCATGGAGGGTGCCCAAAGGTTCTTCATTGGACCCGGCCCAGAGGTGAGGTTGTCGGGGCTCACTCTGGTAGCAGTGTACCGCTGCCCGGTTTGCAGGGGAATTGGTTGGGGTATTCCATGTGGGGCGGTGTTTGTTCCTGGGACAGTCTCTCTGTATGTGGCCCTGCTGGTTACACGTGTGGCACCTGATGAACGATCGGGCATTGTTGTACCGGGGAGGGGTTTGGTAGTTCCCACCACCCGGACGCAGTGATGGGGTGGGGATAACAGTGGGAGGTGTGGTAGCAGCGCCCGAGGTGGGCTGTGACTGTGCCCACTGTGCCCTTCTGGCATCTTGGTATTCGTCTGCCAACCTGGCTGCGTCGGTTAAGGTGCGTGGTTTCCGGTCTCGTAGCCAGTTTTGTAAATCCGGGGTTAATCCCTGGAAGAATTGCTCTAGCAGCAGTAACTGGAGCATATCCTCCACTGTGGTTGCTTACGCTGCTTGTACCCATCCTTTGCCCGCCCTAGTTAAGCGGTGTGCCCACTCCATGTGGGTGTCTCTCTCCGTCTTTCGGCTTTCTCTGAACCGCTGTCGGTACGCTTCTGGGGTGATGGCATACCTGGTCAGGATCGCCTGCCTTACTTTCTGGTAATCCCTGCTGTCCTCGTCTGGCATGGTGCGGTAGGCTTCTGCTGCCCGGCCCGCTAACTTGCCCAACAGCAGGGGTACCTGGTCAGCAGCGTCAATCTCGTGTAGCTGGCATAACTTCTCGAAGTCATGCAGGTAGCCATCAATGTCCTTGGTTTCCACATAACTTTTAAAAGCATGGTATGGAATTTTAGGCTTTCCTTGTACTATGCGTGGTGAGGTTGGAGACCCTTCTCTGGACCTCCGGTCTGCCTGCTGTTTTGCCATGATGTATTGGTGAACATCTGCCATAATCCTTTCCAAGGTGTCTATGGGAGGTGTATCTGGGAAAAAGGCCAGTCTGCTTTGGAGTTCTCTTCCAAACTCATTCTGTGTGTTGTCCATAAGAGGTGCTGCAGCAGCTGCCCGGTCTCCCTCCATGAGTTCAGCAATAAGGGTAGCTTTGGCTTTATTGCTGGCAATAATTCCCCTTGCTTCCAATAGCTCTTTTAGCGTGGCCCGTTTCAAGCTGGTATAATCTGTCCCCATTCACTATCCGTTCGGGTATATTCACATACCCTTTCCCTTCGGTTCCATACGAATAGCAAATTTCCACGAATGGCTGTAACTGCTGAACAACGGTTTGCTGTGAGGTTTGAATCCCACCTCTGCCACCAATTGTAACGGAGGAGCAGGGGTTAATCCAAGGACTCTCCGCTGGGAACAAAGATTCAGCATACAAAATCACAGGAACACAGCATAATCCACCTCCCCAAGGACTAGACGACACATAGTCTGGGAGTCAACTGATAGCTTTAATCACAGGTCTGCTTTTATGCATTTCTCCCATGCAAGGGAGGTAACTTTCATAATTTGTACAGTAACCAATTGTAACCCGGTCACCTCCCCTCACTCTCCTCCCCTTAGATTAGCACTTAAACCACTTAGTGGGGACAGAGTTTTCCCCACTTTCTGGATGTCCATTAAATACATGGGGTACAGGGACAAATAAGGTGTCCCCAGGTAGGTCTGATCTGGGTGAGCAACATACTTGAAATTCACCCAGATCGGACCAGGGGTTCGGGAGTTACAGCCTGTTAAAGTTTTGACTGACCGCAGGGACTCAGTAGCCGAAAACAGTTCCATGCATTCTGGCCCTGCGGTCGTTCTATTTCAATGAACCACAAATACTGAACGGTTAGCCATCCATACGATTGCTAGCATTCGTATGATTCCCCTCGTTTAGGGGAATCTATCTACGGAACGCCGGGGCGTTCGTGTGTTAGCTTCGTATTGTCGGAGCACGCTGGAGGTCTTAGCGGTGCTTGGTTAGTCGAATGCCCGGTTTGGGTTCCAGGCGTTCAACAACCAAGTTAGTGCGTAAAATGGCCGCCGCCACGTGTTCGGTAGGCGAAATGGCGGCCACACATACAGGTACTTAATTCCCTTCGCAACAATGTATCATTCTGTTAATGGGAAACACACGACCACCCCGGGGTGGTCGTCCGTTCGGTAGTTTCATACATTCGAATAAACACATTACAATACTATTAAAATCCATTCGTGTGGTTATTCCCTTGGTGAATTACACCTATTCACACAGAATAGTTAGTCCAAGTGGCAGGGTTTGCCACAGTAGGTGTCCCGATAAGTAGATCATTCCTAGCTCACTCGAGGTAGGTGTCCCGATAAGTAGATCATTCCTAGCTCACTTGAGGTAGGTGTCCCGATAAGTAGATCATTCCTAGCTCACTCGAGGCAGGTGTCCCGATAGGTAGATCATTCCTAGCTCACTCGAGGTAGGTGTCCCGATAGGTAGATCATTCCTAGCTCACTCGAGGTAGGTGTCCCGATAGGTAGATCATTCCTAGCTCACTCGAGGTAGGTGTCCCGATAGGTAGATCATTCCTAGCTCACTCGAGGTAGGTGTCCCGATAGGTAGATCATTCCTAGCTCACTCGAGGTAGGTGTCCCGATAGCTAGATCATTCCTAGCTCACTCGAGGTAGGTGTCCCGATAGGTAGATCATTCCTAGCTCACTTGAGGTAGGTGTCCTGATAGGTAGATCATTCCTAGCTCACTCGAGGTAGGTGTCCGATAGGTAGATCATTCCTAGCTCACTTGAGGTAGGTGTCCTGATAGGTAGATCATTCCTAGCTCACTCGAGGTAGGTGTCCCGATAGGTAGATCATTCCTAGCTCACTTGAGGTAGGTGTCCTGATAGGTAGATCATTCCTAGCTCACCCTTTTCTAAATGATCCCAGTGGATACTCTGTAGTGACTTTGTGCTTTGCTTTCTTGGTTCGGTGCAGGTGAAGCTAAATGTATCCAGTTCTTGGCAGGAAGAGGAGGTTTGGCGGATGGAGATTTATGTTTCTCTTGGGATTATGGCACTTTGCGCCCTCTCACTACTCGCTATTACCTCCTTACCGTCCATAGGGAACTCTCTGAACTGGAGAGAATTCCGCTTTATACAGGTAAGTGTGTTCATCTGTTACTGCTCCACAACAGCCACGCAATTCCTCACTAGTGGACCATAATATGGAATTACAAGCTAAATATACACTGTATACACCCCGCACTTACTGTAATGTAACCTGTAAAGTGCTGAGTACACCTGTTAGCGCTATATAAATATAATATACATACACTGTATACACCCCGCACTTACTGTAGCCCCCCCCACTGTAATGTAACCTGTAAAGTGCTGAGTACACCTGTTAGTGCTATATAAATAAAATATACATACACTGTATACCTACTGTTCCTCCCTCTACTGTAATGTAACCTATAAAGTGCTGAGTACACCTGTTAGCGCTATATAAATATAATATACATACACTGTATACCTACTGCACTTACTGTACCTCCCTCTACTGTAATGTAACCTGTAAAGTGCTGAGTACACCTGTTAGCACTATATAAATAAAATATACATACACTGTATACCTACTGCACTTACTGTACCTCCCTCTACTGTAATGTAACCTGTAAAGTGCTGAGTACACCTGTTAGCGCTATATAAATAAAATATACATACACTGTATACCTACTGCACTTACTGTACCTCCCTCTACTGTAATGTAACCTGTAAAGTGCTGAGTACACCTGTTAGCGCTATATAAATACAATATACATACACTGTATACCTACTGCACTTACTGTACCTCCCTCTACTGTAATGTAACCTGTAAAGTGCTGAGTACACCTGTTAGCGCTATATAAATAAAATATACATACACTGTATACCTACTGCACTTACTGTACCTCCCTCTACTGTAATGTAACCTGTAAAGTGCTGAGTGCACCCGTTAGCGCTATATAAATAAAATATACATACACTGTATACCTACCCCTTCCCCTGGTTTAGAAACATAGAATGTGACGGCAGATAAGAACCATTCGGCTCATCTAGTCTGCCCAATTTTCTAAATACTTTCATTAGTCCCTGGCCTTATCTTATAGTTAAGATAGCCTTATGCCTATCCCACGCATGCTTAAACTCCTTTACTGTGTTAACCTCTACCACTTCAGCTGGAAGGCTATTCCATGCTTCCACTACCCTCTCAGTAAAGTAATACTTCCTGATATTATTTTTAAACCTTTGTCCCTCTAATTTAAGACTATGTCCTCTTGTTGTGGTAGTTTTTCTTCTTTTAAATATAGTCTCCTCCTTTACTGTGTTGATTCCCCTATCATATCCCCCCTGTCTTGTCTTTCCTCCAAGCTATACATGTTAAGATCCTTTAACCTTTCCTGGTAAATTTCAAATGAATTGATTAATATCTGTTTAGGAAAAGTTGGATATGCTCCCCCTGTCTTGTCTTTCCTCCAAGCTATACATGTTAAGATCCTTTAACCTTTCCTGGTAAATTTCAAATGAATTGATTAATATCTGTTTAGGAAAAGTTGGATATGGGGCTGCTCTGCACAATTAACACCTCTGTTTTACCAATATCTCTGATGGCCATCCTGTCATGTCAGTCCGAGTTGGACAAGGCTGACCGTGGTAATGTGGGAGTGCAGCTGAAATCTTGGCGAGCTGAATGTAAGATAACGTGATGTTGCTGAGATTTCATTTTATTCTTTGAATAAAGGACTTACTCAAAGCTCCCCCAATTAATTTATTTTCTTATGTCTGCGAGAAGTCCGACGCGGTGAGTGGAGTCTGCTTAAATCCTGTCTGTGTGAATCACTAAGGGACCTGGATCCAATTGCTCTATGAAAACTATTTTTTATCAGAGAAAGTTTTCGGTTAATGAAGATGTTGTTCATTGTACAATGTAAGTGGTTTGTGTTTAAGCTTTAAATCTTTTTTTTTCTTTTCTTTTCTTTGCAGTCTAAGCTGGGATTTGTAGCCCTGATAATCGCCACCCTGCACACGCTCACATTCGGCTGGAAACGAGCGTTTGATCGGACTCATTACAAGTTTTACCTGCCTCCAACGTATACCCTGACTCTCCTACTACCGTTCATAATCATATTGGCCAAACTTGTCCTCTTCCTGCCGTGTGTTAATCTGAGCCTAATGCGGATCCGGAGGGGGTGGGAGAAGGGACAGTGCGTAACATTTTCACACGTGCAGGAATTAAGCGAAACGTCAAGCAATGTTTAGCTAACCTGCCTGGAGATTGGGAATGAACCCATCTCTGGGGTATTGGAGTCTGAACGTGGCTGCCCCCCTCCCCAGCATAGATCCATTGTCATCTGTGTCACCGTTACTGTGGGATATCATATATATCACTCCGTGAACCCCCATTGAGTTACATCCACCGATCCAATATGTAATCTGTAAATAGGTTTAATCTTCAACGCTGGGCTTTATCTGCGGTGCCACGGTTAACTATATCTGGGGTAAGGGAGCTTTGGGTGAAACGCTTCATTAAACTGAATAAGGGGAGTGTCGTTTATCTTCCAATGCCCAGTTGGTGGCTGCTTGTGGCCGATGTCTGCTGAAATTCAGCCCAGGATCATAATTCTAACTAAACTAAACGTTTAGTGCCCCTCCTGCCCCTTTCATCTATGTAGCTGAAAAGTAAAAATCGTTCTAGCAGATTATAAATTATATAATATAACTTTGTATATCTCCTCCTCCCAGCTGGGGGATGTATCCCTCGCCAGGTTACTGCCCTTTATAACCCCAAAATGATTTCAACTCAGCACGCATTGCAGTGCATGCTGGGAACGCAGAAACACAGGAAATGCTTTTACACAAATCTATTTGCAAAAATCAACACAGGTTGGCTGATTGTAATTTTTGACTGGTCCCCCCAATGAAGTGCATAGTATTAGCCTGTCGCCCCATTCTACAGTCCAAGTGTTAAGATTTTAAGATAACATTAAAATACCTTTTGCAAAATGCCTTAATTATTGTTCCCCGTGTGAAAGGCGTCTCAGCTGGGACAGGCATTGTTCACATAATAAACCCAAATCACTTGTGGGCCTGTTCCTACTGACAGCATGGGGGCTCGTGTCAATGTATATCTTATTGTAGTATATTGATATATTATTATTTTTTTTTTTTTCTGGCCGAGCAGCCACGTTGGTTCTGATTCAGCCTTGTTGCTGTTGTGCTTGCTGTGTGTGAACCTGCAGTGGCAGTGAATTTGGGCTGAGCAGAATCGGAACTGTTACGGTACCTCCAGTAATAAATGTACAAACCGCCGTTTAGCGAATGCTCCCCGTTCGCAATAATGTGGTCTGGTAGCGTGTACAGTATAACCATGCGAACCGCCAGCTAGGGAACACTCCAAACTCCCGAACGGTACCTGTACGGCTCTTTCCCTTCACGATCTCCAAATACACGAACTGCCAATATTAGCCGAACGCCAATATCTTCCAAGCGGCAAATAATTCCAATAAGCAGTCTCTAGGCGCCAGTAATAAAATCCCCCCAGTAACGAGACCAAGCTCCGCTTTGAGGGTAAAACACGAACTGATTTAGTGTGGGCTACCTGCCCGGTATTTATGCAGGTCTCCCACTTCGTGGACACTCCCCTAGGGGACCAAATAGGAGACTGGAATAACAGAAGGACATGGGGACATTTCAGACATACATCCCCACAATATTCCCAGCATGCATCACAGTTCCCTCCCCTCTGCTCGGGAGATAATTGGGAAGTAATTCAATTATCTCCACGAGCAGAGGCAAATCGCCATTTTAACTCAAAGTTATAAAACACATTAAAATACATAACTTTCTAATTGCCGAACATATTGTATTCGTGTAACACATCCCCAGATAGCCTGGATCTGAGTGCATATTATTGGCGAATAGCGCTCAGATCCCATTCGCATAGTTCAATCGCCATGGAGTCAAAGTCTATTACAGTTCTTCGGTATGCGATTGACTCCATGGGAAGGCTATCTGGGTTAAGTCCATTCGTGTTGTTGAATCTCCCGAACGGCCGGCATTCGTATGCTTTTGTCGATTGAGAAGGGGAGGTCGACGGCTTCAGCGGTGTTCGGTTGAAAAAGTGTCCGTTTTCAGTTCCATGAAATAACCGTCGAACACCGCTGGTCTTTCGCATGGTTAAAATGGCCGCCGCCTCGTGGTCGACATACGAACGACGACCACCCGGTATTCGGTTTTAATTGAGAAGTGTCTGTGGTTAACCGCAACGTTCTAATTGGGATCAATAGGTTAACCAGCAGCACACTTCTCTTCTGGGTGGCCGTCCGTTCGGTAGTTCCGTTCGACAAAAAAAAGACATTCCCTTAAACAAAGCATACGAATGGGGGAATTCATGCAAACGGCAAAACAGACGAACACAGTGCTTTTAGTCCATACAGATGGGTCTGTCACAGGAACCAACATGCCCGCTCAGACAGATAATCTACATTGCATTAAAACTAACTAATTAAATGTGATGACACTGTGCATTACGGAGGACAACGCACTGACAGCCGTACAACTATGCATGGCCTATTTTACCCTAAAATGCCACACGCTTACTGCTTCGTGAATAACTCTGTACCGTTATTTCATAAACCTCGTAATGGCAGGAGTATCTAAAGCAGGGGTTCTCAACGTTAGTCCTCGGGACCCCCTACCAGTCCAGGATTTGGGGTTTACCTGGGTGTGTCTAAGGTGTTTAGAAAAAGAAGAAAAAAACACCTTAGAGTCTAAGGTGTTTCTTTTCCCCCTTTCTCTAAACACCTTAGACACACCCAGGTAAACCCCAAATCCTGGACTGGTAGGGGGTCCCGAGGACTGGGTTGAGAACACCTGATCTAAAGAATTGCAAATTCAGGGAAAAAATTGCTGTCCGTGAAATGGTTGTTTTTTTCAGTTTGGCTATTTTGAGAATAACCGTTATTATTCAGCGATCTACGTCCTGTACACAGAGATTAGTACAGAACCTGTCTGTATAACGGCTTATTCTGGGTATTCAAGGAGAACCTCAAATTTAAGGCCAGAATAGTTTAATTGGAAAAATGTCAGTTTTGCTTCCAGTGCGGGGATTCTGATCAAACAGAGCATGGAAAGAGCAACACTAGCTAAACTTGATCCCCAGCAAGCCGTACAAACTGCATCCCTGACCTCCCCAGCCCTTACCTCCCTATCCCTGACCTCCCCAGCTCTGACCTCCCCAGCCCTTAACCTCCCCAGCCCTAACCTCCCTATCCCTGACCTCCCCAGCCCTTACGCCCTATCCCTGACCTCTCCAGCCCTTACCGCCCTATCCCTGACCTCTCCAGCCCTTACCGCCCTATCCCTGACCTCTCCAGCCCTTACCGCCCTATCTCTGACCTCCCCAGCTTTTACCGCCCCATCCCTTACCTCTCCAGCCCTTACCGCCCTATCCCTGACCTCCCCAGCTCTTACCGCCCCATCATATACCTCCCTAGCTCTTACCGCCCCATCATTTACCTCCCCAGCTCTTACCACCCCATCCCTTACCTCTCCAGCCCTTACCGCCCTATCCCTGACCTCTCCAGCCCTTACCTCCCCATCCCTGACCTCCCCAGCACTTACCGCCCCATCCCCGACCTCCCCAGCCCTTACCGCCCCATCCCCTACCGCCCCTTTAATGACTGCGCTGGAAGAGGCCGTGTTGTTATTATTTTTTATTTTTTTTATGAATACAGAGCTCTGTCCGTAAAGTGTATGCTAATCGCAATTCACAAAGATATTTCACATTTTGGCAATTTAAATATAAATTGCAAAATAGCTGCTCTGGGGGAAAAAAATCCTCCAGCCAAGCGAAGGTCACAAATTGGTTATTTTAGCCTCAACTTTAACATTTGGATTTAATCTTCTGAAATTCTGAGTTTAGGAATCATCCTGAATGTAATGAGACAGGACAATAAAGGGAGGGAGCAGGCTCTGTGTCCCTTTAATTACGTGCGGCGTTATATTACAGCAATGAATGAGCCCATAATGCAATTTTTAAGGTATGGTAACATGATTTTATTGCACCACAAGAAACAATTTACCCCGAACTCAGGTACGGCTTAGTAATCCAGCCATCCACCTGATTTGTGAGGACACTTACCCTCTAATAAATGCACCATCAAGTACATTGGTGTGTTGCTTGCTGAGTACCCCTACCCTGTCTGCCTGCTGAGTACCCGCACCCTGTCTGGCTACTGAGAGTACCCTGTCTGACTGCTAATAGTACCTGATAGTACCCTGTCTGCCTGCTGAGAGTACCCGCACCCTGTCTGCCTGCTGAGCGTACCCGCACCCTATCTGGCTACTGAGAGTACCCTGTCTGACTGCTAATAGTACCCTGTCTGCCTGCTGAGAGTACCCGCACCCTGTCTGGCTACTGAGAGTACCCTGTCTGACTGCTAATAGTACCTGATAGTACCCTGTCTGCATGCTGAGAGTACCCGCACCCTGTCTGCCTGCTGAGAGTACCCTGTCTGACTGCTAATAGTACTCTGTCTGCCTAATAGTACCTGATAGTACCCTGTTTGCCTGCTGACAGTATCCGCACCCTGTCTGCCTGCTGAGAGTACCTGCGCCCCGTCTGCCTCCTGAGAGTACCCGCACCCTGTCTGGCTACTGAGAGTACCCTGTCTGACTGCTAATAGTACCTGATAGTACCCTGTCTGCCTGCTGAGAGTACCCGCACCCTGTCTGGCTACTGAGAGTACCCTGTCTGACTGCTAATAGTACCCTGTCTGCCTGCTGAGAGTACCCGCACCCTGTCTGGCTACTGAGAGTACCCTGTCTGACTGTTAATAGTACCTGATAGTACCCTGTCTGCCTGCTGAGAGTACCCGCACCTTGTCTGCCTGCTTAGAGTACCCGCACCCTGTCTGGCTACTGAGAGTACCCTGTCTGACTGCTAATAGTACCCTGTCTGCCTGTTTGCCTGCTGACGGTATCCGTACCCTGTCTGCCTCCTGAGAGTACTCTGTCTGCCTACTGAGAGTACCTGCGCCCCATCTGCCTCCTGAGAGTACCCGCACCCTGTCTGGCTACTGAGAGTACCCTGACTGACTGCTAATAGTACCTGATAGTACCCTGTCTGCCTGCTGAGAGTACCCGCACCCTGTCTGGCTACTGAGAGTACCCTGACTGACTGCTAATAGTACCTGATAGTACCCTGTCTGCCTGCTGAGAGTACCCGCACCCTGTCTGGCTACTGAGAGTACCCTGTCTGCCTGCTGAGAGTACCCGCACCCTGTCTGCCTGCTGAGAGTACCTGCACCCTGTCTGGCTACTGAGAGTACCCTGTCTGACTGCTAATAGTGCCTAATAGTACCCTGTCTGCCTAATAGTACCTGATAGTACCCTGTTTGCCTGCTGAGAGTACCCGCGCCCCGTCTGCCTCCTGAGAGTACCCCCACCGTCTGGCTGCCTAGAGTACCCGCGCCCTGAATGGCTGCTGATAGTACCTGATAGAACCCAGTTTTCCTGCTGAGAGTACCCTGTGTGCCTACTGAGAGTAAGTGCACCTCATCTGCCTGCTGAGAGTACCCGCACATTGGCTCCGATGGTTTATTCCTTCAGCAATTTGTTAAAGTCATACAACTATAGGATTCTTCCATGTCTGAAGAAATTTGCAGTTCTGGAACAATGTCGTTATTGTCCAAGTGGCGTCACGTGTGTTAACCAAACTGAGAACGGGTGTTGTATAAACTGATAGCAGCCACTGTATCTGACTTTCTGTGATGATTGGAACTGCTTTAGGGGATACAATACTTATCCCATAAATCCATGTTTTACTTAGCCCCCACAGACCAGGATAAATGACCCCGCTTGCTGGAACACTGCGTCGTTTAGAAGGTGTGGCGGTATACCCTCCTGAAGATGGGTTAATACCACCTGTGGTCCCCCCTTCCAGAGTGATTATAGCTGCTGAGTATTGATTATAGTTACTGCCGAGGGGTAACCGCGGTATCACCCAAACACTAGTTGAGACTGAGTGAAGGGTGAAGTAGATCTGTTTATTCCCCGCCAAATGGCTCACATTTATTGACAATAAAAACACATATATCCCACATAGCAACCCCCAGAGTCTATACATCTCCGGCTAGCCTGGATCTAAGCGCCCAACCTGACGTGTGGGGAAGGAGCAGGCGTTTGTCAAAGTTCAGCGGTGTTCAGGAGTTTCAGTGTCCGATTTTAGTTCCATGGGATTAGCGCCCAAACACCGCTGCCTGCATTCTTGCAAACAAGATGGCCGCCACACGTACGTGCATACGAACGGCGGCCACCCAACTGCACAATTAGAACCCACAATGATAGAACTGTCAGGAGAGGTTAACAAGTGTCAATAAGCTCAGAGGTGGTCCGCAGTTCGTGGGTTGGTTTGTATCCCAAACAGTCCAAGGGAATCCCACAGTCTTTCAATAGTCTTTTAGCATGGCCCATAGTCCTGATGCAGGAGGCTAGCAAGCAGGCTCCTCCAGGAGCTCGTGGCGAGGGCAAGTTCGCCACAGTAAGTGTGGAATGTTGGAGAGAATTTTTATATTTTAATGCGTTCTTTAAATAACCCTGTAAAATAATCATCACAATAACATTGTCAGGAGGTTAATCAGCTCTATGAGCTACATACAATATAAAAGATATAAACTGTATGCAGTTAAATGTTCCAAGGTTTTAAATCGTATATTTCCCCACAAGCTTAGAATTCTATAAACAGGAATATGGTAGCAAAGGCTGGATTGGTAACGGCTGTGGCAATGTTAGCGAGGGGGGCAGTCGGTATTTAATTATATTTTAGAAGCTGTAGATGTAGTGAAATGTTGATATGGGAAGACTCCTTAATAAAGCATAAAGGGCGACTTGAATCTGTCCCGCTCTGCAAACATATCCCGCTATTTATTACAATAAAAGACAGCCCGCTGCTCCAGATCATGAATCAAACCCTATTGATTTTGGAGCGGGGCGTCACCAGCACATGGGGTCAGGTACACTGTGCCCCTGTCTCATATAATGAATTCTCATTCACACTATAAATCTCTATTACACCCTCGCATGGTCCCCACCTCCAGCATCGTCACTATGGACCAGTAAAACCAGGGTGAGAGGAAAAACGCATTCAATTTCACAAAATCCAATTCCTTAGTTTGGCGTGGGGGTGGCTTGTTTTTTTAACCCCTAACACTCCCAACGTCATATACAGTCTTATATATCCCTGGTGAAGCAGCTCATTGTTCTTCTTACACACAGAGTCCCACGTCAAAACAATTCAGTAAATGAAAGGGTCAGTTTAAGCACTGTAACATATAGTGCAAATATGAGTAAGCTATAGCAGCAGCAGCGATTTGTAAAGATCACCATGCTGCCACGCTTGTCCCCAAATAGCCAACATTACAACACACCCCAGTTACTGTGTACAGACATGGCAGCCATACCAAGCTGCTATCAGTTTAAATGATTTTACGTGATAACTTGAACAGCTCTTAACACATATTCCACAATCTTCTGCAAGGCAGGGAATGTTGGGAGCTGAATGAGTGTTTTCTCATTAGAGCATCTCCTCCTGGTGTAGGAGGGTCTGTCAGACCCACGAACCAGGGAGTTGGCTCAGAACATGCAAAGTTTTTTATACTTTTTAATGCATTATCTATGCTCCCACCAAGTGAATTAACCACATGCCCTCTATACCAGCAGTTGGAGGCTGCCATTTCCATCATTGAGGGCCAGGCCAAGGATTGCCAGGGCTGTATGAATGTAGAGAATGGATTACACTCTGACTTTCCACTTTGAATAGAAATTGAAGGTCATATCAATATTTATTAGGAGGTTTGAAATTCCAACATAATGAAATGCATGACGTGACACAGGAGACATTGCATTTAATTCATTATAAGTTCCCATCCCTGTGCTCCCCACTTTGTGCGTGACAAGTAAATGGTCCCCCTTACTTTCCAAGCAGGAAACCCGGAGGCAACATCACCAGCTGTTAAAACCTTAATTTAAGAGTTGGGGCCACATTCTCCCCAACAATTTGGGGTCCTGTATCTGTTGACATGCTTGTCTCCATATTGTCGAACCATTAGAAAATGTTCCCAATTATGGCCTCCGTTTAATAAGCTTTCCAAATGATTCCAAACTCCCATTGACAAATCATTTAAAAAGCAGATTAAATCAGGTCCTGAGTTAGGATTTGGAACAGCTGTAATTAGGCCATGTTTATTCAGCAATACAGAAATTTATTGGTAGATATAGAGATATGGCCACCCCGTACAGGTAGTAATAAATCTGTGTAAATAATACAAACGTCAGTACAGACTCAAACACTTTTTGCAAAGAAACAGCACCCTGAGACGTTTATCAAACAGGAAATATGGGAAATACCACAGCTGCAAAACAAGGACAAAAATGATAGGGTAGGTGCTCTGTCCAGTAGACAGACCCAGGTTCCAGTTATTCCTGATCTGTGACGTATGAATAGCCGTGAAGAGCTTCTCATTACCACGCAGACACCGGATTGGATTTGTAGGCTTCATAATCCTGGTCACAGAAGAGAGCGAGCTCTGTTTCATTGGCTGCAGGACAAACAGAACATTCAAATTAAAGAGTGACTGCTCTAAACAAACTATCAATCATTTTGCCCGCAACCCCCAAACCAGCATTATACAAGAATTATTTAACACCATAAAAAGCCGCTGTACCCAGAACCCATGTGGGGTAACTCTAGTAATTAATCAGATACATTGAGCGCACACACAGTGCACAGATTCACAGCAAACAGACATTTTATCCCAAAGAACACATTTTAAATCAGTTACATAGCCTCATCTCCCGTCACCAAACATCTATATACAGCGGAATCTGATGACGCTATATAAATAATAAAATAATAATATACTGCCCTCAGAGGGAATGTCTGCTAAAGGCATCCTAACCCACTCCCACCCCAGTTCCTGCACTAGGGAAATGAATACAGGCAGATAGCTCAGGAGAAATCAGTCACTGTGTTATTACAGCTTATTGCAGGAGTGCCCAAAAGGTAGATCTATGGATATTGTAGAACTACAACTCCCATGATGCTTTGCATGCCTTTCAAATGGCAAAGCATCATGGAAGCTGTAGTTTTAAAACATCTGGGGATCTACCTTTTTGGTACCCCTGGCTTATTGCATCATTATTATTACACTTCTTATATTATATCGCATTGAAGTATTGTGTGACGGATTCCATACTGTTAATTTTTGTTTATTTTGATACCCTGCATAGTTCGTTATACAAACTCACCGGACACCTAAGACCTATCTATTTCGTATATACCGAACAAACTACCGCACAGCCAGACCACCCAGGGCAGGTGTGTTCTGCTCATTGACCCTTTTCACCTTTGTTCGCACCTCAGTAGCTGTAATTATCTCAACATTCTGAGAGGTCGGCTGGGTGGCCACCATTCGTATGGCTGAACACGTGGTGGTGGCCATCTTTAGCCGCAAACACCGCTAAAACTTCCACCTCCATAGAAGTTCGGTAACATACGTGAGAAATGAAGGGCGTTCGGTGGGAGCAAGCTCCCGAAACAAGGAATGAAGACTGATTGTACTTCCAAACCGTCACTTCCGAAAGAGACCTGTAACAGATCACCTGGCACCCCGACTGGGTACCTCCGTTGAAGGATGCTCCTAGCGCTTCCTGAGGACTCCAAGCACTGCAGCAGACACCGCAACCACCGAACCGGAGAAGCATACGAATTCTCTCAAGCATATGAATGCTGTAAGCAGCTGAACAGGATAAGCATACAATCAGCTTACACTCCTGGCAATCAGCATACAATCTAATTCCCCCAATAACGAGATGACACTTCGTTTTGAGGTCAAGCAGAACTGACTGTACTGGCACATACAGCCTCTTTTATTCACAATCCACAAACATAGTACTGCCCACAGGGTTTTGAAATACAACCAATTAATCCGTACAATACACACAGTCATTCCCACACAAAATCCTCCCCTCTGCCTGTGATATGATTACTGAACACAATGGTTAATATAATTATCACAGGCAGAGAAATACAATATTATAAAAAATATCACAGGGAGCCCAAAACATGCAATAACCCCATAAAAAGTATATATACTTTTATATATACCACATATCCAAAATTCACCCAGATCCGTTCAGTAGTTTGGAAGATGCAGTTTAATGCAGATTCCGCAGAACATATACAGGCTATATGAAAAATAATTACTGTATAATGTGTCCCCTGTTGTATAGTTTAAAACTACTGAACGATGTCTTCGTGCACCAAATACTGGCGAGATGGCACCGTGTTGAAAAGTCCAAACAGTGTCTGTGAGTTAAAATGGCCGCCATCCATTGTTCTCACCATGTGCTTCTGATACATGAAATGGTGGCCACCCAGTAACTCCACAGTATGTCCCCAGATGGTTCTTAAAGGGCCAGCAGCAGCACAACACAAATCCATTATGCCCAAATCATGTCTTTAAAGGGCAATACATTCCAGGGGCCATAGTCACATGGCAGGAGGCTGGCAAACAGGCCCCTCCAAAAACCAGTGGCGAGGTTACTTTTGCCACAAGACCAACCGCACAGCCTGATTTCATGGAACTTTTTGGGGGCAAGAGCCTCGTGTGTGATCGGTCAAAACTGAGACTTCCATGGAAACCCTAAACCCCTGAACCAATCTGGGTGATTTATGGATATGTTGGTCCCCTAGATCAGGGCTATCAGGGGATATGACTATATTGGGGTTTCCATGTGTTTTGGGGGAATTTTTTATTTGTTGTAAAAATTATGTTTTCTGTGCCTGAAGATCATTGAGTTTAGTGCAGTGCTTGACTCAATAATCAAATTAACCTATTTTGTATGGGAGTGTCCTGGAGAGCCAATGTAATCGTGTATATGTTTTTACTGTAGTCTACTCTCAGGTCCCGAGGGGAGTGCCCCTTGCATGGGGATTGACATAAAAAGCCAGTGTAACTACCAATAAACCAGTTCCTGCCTACCCTCAACATAGAGTCTCATCTTATGTTTGTAGGGAACCGCTATACTAGCTATAATCATCAGCTCTTGTAGCCCTCTCTACCTCTTGTATTAGTCTGTGTATATTGTACGTTTCTCCACTAATTGTACAGCGCTGCGAAATCTGTTGGCGCTTTATAAATAGCAGTAATAATAATAATTAAAAAAAAGAGCTATACCGTCCTTGGGATTTGGAAAGCATCACTCTGAATAGGGGGAAAGAACATCTCTGGCGGCGAAACCCCTCATCCTCTCGGGGTGGCCGCCACATATTACAACTCATTGTATCGTTACCACTCTGTGTAATCTTTGTGGGGCCTAAAGTATCCTGGCACCGTGCCTCGGTTTAATTTCTAACCCTATCTCAGAAGCATTGACACATCAGAAATATTAAGAGTCAGGGAGAGCTAAGCCAACCCGGGCTCGGCTAACAATCCCACAGCGCTCTTCGCAAATGCTGTCCATGGTAGCTTTAATACCGCGTTATAAATGTGGCTCAAATGGAAACCGTAATTGGATACCATGGACTATATAAATCCATTGCAGAATGGTTTAATATTAAAACCAAGAGATGGTGCACGGGATTCTAGGCAACATTCTGTTTCTGTGGCGCGACCTATAACTTTTATTCTCAACATTCTATTGGTTATCGTACTAGCGGAGGTAGCCATGTTGCTAGTGTGTCCCTTTCAAATGAAACTTTGAACATTGCCAGACCTGTTACTATGAGGGAGCACTCTAGAATATTGCTTTATAATGAGATTTGTGCAGTGCATACATGCATTGGCTACTTGGTAGAGGTGGTATGGCCAATTTGATTGTAGAGCATAGATGTCAGAAGGGATTAATTTAAAGTATATTGGGATGTGATAGATGGCAGAAGGTTTACAACTCCTTTAAAGCAGTGAAATGTTACACGAGTTGCCTCTGAATCTCCTTCAATGTAAACTAACTCTCTAATTTGCCATATGCCTTTATCTCCTCTTAGACAGTGGATTTTTTGATGTGTTAATGACCATTAGCATTCAGGAGAACCATTGAGTTCCAGTGTCCTATCCAAAAGAAACCTTAATAATAACTCACAGATGAATAATCGGGCCTCCTTTTGATAGAATGCAGGCTTTATAAAGAGTATAAATATAGGTAGCGCATCTTAAGTCATTTGGAAGGAATTGGGAAGTCCATTGTTTTGGACATAAGTACAAAGTGTGGCATATGTCCAGAATGGAAAAATTGCAACAAAGTCACAGGTGCAATTTTTATTTCTGTAGCGAGCGAGGAAATAAAGCCAAAATTTCTTTGTATTTGGACTGAAACACAAGGGGAAGATCACTTATTGTTCCATCCATCTATACCCCCTCTGGGCCGGCTTGGACACCCGAGATGAATTCAGGAGGTATAAATCGAATTGATGTGCAAATGTTAAGTGTGCGTACAAGGAGCCACGATCTAATATTTTTGTAAGTTGCCGGAGCTCCCCCAGGCAGAAGACTCTGTTACTTTTAAAACCTAAAGTGAGTGAGTAATTAGGACTACTGTTAATTTCTCCTTTTTATTTTTTTTCTTTATCTGTTGATTGGTGTAAATTTGTCATTTTTTGTATGCACTGTAACTATTTGTTCATAATAAATATTCCTTTATTAAATTCTGCCTTTGTCTGGTAAAGACTCACTCACGTTACCTGAAGAGACCAATTTATTAGGGTTTGTAATTGCACAGACATTGTGTTAAATTGTATTCGGTGGGTTTTTATTGTAATTTACTTGGGGGACCAAGGCAACCCATGTATAAATGGTCTTGGATGTTGCAGCATAAAAAATACAAATCGTAATACTAATTAAATGTGATTAGTGTTAGGGTGGATTCTTATCATTATTTCGGATCTAGTGCAGAATTGTAACTCTCACCACCAGAACCAAGTCGCGTGCACACTTGGAGTAGGGTGCGTTCGTGACGAGACCAATTACACAGCTCAGCTATAAAATAATTACATCTTGGCTCTCACATTAGCAAAAACAAGAGCTGTAGCAATGTTTATCAATTATTAAATCATAAAACATTTATTTTTAAACCAGGTTATCATGCAGTAGGATTACTTTCACATGGAGTATATTGTTTATTAAACATCATGGACCTTCGTATATCCTGAGCTGCCAATCCCACACACTGCAGACATAGCAGCACCATATTCCCACAAACTTAGAACCAGAGCCATGTTATTCCACAAATTACAGAGTATGAGATACTCCACATATTACAGAGTATGAGATACTCCACATATTACAGAGTATGAGATACTCCACATATTACAGAGTATGAGATACTCCTCATATTACAGAGTATGAGATACTCCACATATTACAGAGTATGAGATACTCCACATATTACAGAGTATGAGATACTCCACATATTACAGAGTATGAGATACTCCACATATTACAGAGTATGAGATACTCCACATATTACAGAGTATGAGATACTCCACATATTACAGAGTATGAGATACTCCACATATTACAGAGTATGAGATACTCCACATATTACAGAGTATGAGATACTCCACATATTACAGAGTATGAGATACTCCACATATTACAGAGTATGAGATACTCCACATATTACAGAGTATGAGATACTCCACATATTACAGAGTATGAGATACTCCACATATTACAGAGTATGAGATACTCCACATATTACAGAGTATGAGATACTCCACATATTACAGAGTATGAGATACTCCTCATATTACAGAGTATGAGATACTCCACATATTACAGAGTATGAGATACTCCACATATTACAGAGTATGAGATACTCCACATATTACAGAGTATGAGATACTCCACATATTACAGAGTATGAGATACTCCACATATTACAGAGTATGAGATACTCCACATATTACAGAGTATGAGATACTCCACATATTACAGAGTATGAGATACTCCACATATTACAGAGTATGAGATACTCCACATATTACAGAGTATGAGATACTCCACATATTACAGAGTATGAGATACTCCACATATTACAGAGTATGAGATACTCCACATATTACAGAGTATGAGATACTCCACATATTACAGAGTATGAGATACTCCACATATTACAGAGTATGAGATACTCCACATATTACAGAGTATGAGATACTCCACATATTACAGAGTATGAGATACTCCACATATTACAGAGTATGAGATACTCCACATATTACAGAGTATGAGATACTCCACATATTACAGAGTATGAGATACTCCACATATTACAGAGTATGAGATACTCCACATATTACAGAGTATGAGATACTCCTCATATTACAGAGTATGAGATACTCCACATATTACAGAGTATGAGATACTCCACATATTACAGAGTATGAGATACTCCACATATTACAGAGTATGAGATACTCCACATATTACAGAGTATGAGATACTCCACATATTACAGAGTATGAGATACTCCACATATTACAGAGTATGAGATACTCCACATATTACAGAGTATGAGATACTCCACATATTACAGAGTATGAGATACTCCACATATTACAGAGTATGAGATACTCCACATATTACAGAGTATGAGATACTCCACATATTACAGAGTATGAGATACTCCACATATTACAGAGTATGAGATACTCCACATATTACAGAGTATGAGATACTCCACATATTACAGAGTATGAGATACTCCACATATTACAGAGTATGAGATACTCCACATATTACAGAGTATGAGATACTCCACATATTACAGAGTATGAGATACTCCACATATTACAGAGTATGAGATACTCCACATATTACAGAGTATGAGATACTCCACATATTACAGAGTGAGATACTCCACATATTACAGAGTATGAGATACTCCACATATTACAGAGTATGAGATACTCCACATATTACAGAGTATGAGATACTACTCATATTACACATATTACAGAGTATGAGATACTCCACATATTACAGAGTATGAGATACTCCACATATTACAGAGTATGAGATACTCCACATATTACAGAGTATGAGATACTCCACATATTACAGAGTATGAGATACTCCACATATTACAGAGTATGAGATACTCCACATATTACAGAGTATGAGATACTCCACATATTACAGAGTATGAGATACTCCACATATTACAGAGTATGAGATACTCCACATATTACAGAGTATGAGATACTCCACATATTACAGAGTATGAGATACTCCACATATTACAGAGTATGAGATACTCCACATATTACAGAGTATGAGATACTCCACATATTACAGAGTATGAGATACTCCACATATTACAGAGTATGAGATACTCCACATATTACAGAGTATGAGATACTCCACATATTACAGAGTATGAGATACTCCACATATTACAGAGTATGAGATACTCCACATATTACAGAGTATGAGATACTCCACATATTACAGAGTATGAGATACTCCACATATTACAGAGTATGAGATACTCCACATATTACAGAGTATGAGATACTCCACATATTACAGAGTATGAGATACTCCACATATTACAGAGTATGAGATACTCCACATATTACAGAGTATGAGATACTCCACATATTACAGAGTATGAGATACTCCACATATTACAGAGTATGATATACATTGCATATTACATACAGAGCTACTACAGCATATTATAAAAGGAGCCAGAATATTGGCACATGTCGTTTAGTCATATTTGAAGGATCAGTAGAATATTTAACTTTCTCCCAAACGGCCGGCACAAGGTGTCTGTAGAACTTCATCTTGCTTGATGATTAATTCATAAAGCTTGAAAAATATGCAAAGTGAGCCACAAATTGGCTGCTTGTACAGTACCTTCAAACGCTGCTAATTACCCACCTGGGACTGCGCTTAGTTTCAGCATACGAGGGAAGCTACGAGCAGTCACTAAACTGTCACCCCGATGGGTCAAGGACCTGCTCTTTCAAACTTGTGTCAGCAGATTGAGCCATTCTGGGCAAATCCAAACACTATGTGGGAATGAAACCCTTTCATCCCCGTCTGGCAGAGCTCAGCAATAAGAAAACACACCTTGAGAGCAGAACATCGCAAAATAAGAGAACGCTGGGCTAATCAAGGACACTCTGCAAGAAAAGCAAAAGAATTTCCATTCTCTGCAACACACATCATTTAAAGGCACATAGGTCCCCATTAACAGCAAAACACAACCCATCCAGTGAACCCATTAATGATGCCCAAAGTGAAATTACTAAGAATAATTAGCTGAAGTCCTGAGCAACACGTAATGGCAAACTGTACCAGCCACAGCTTCTAAAAGTCCCAATACAGTCCGAAATCACCAGCCCACCCCCATCAGACCTCATTAAACAAACTGATCGCATGATATAGGAATTTCATCCTTCTTTTAGCCCCTACAAAAAGCTTCATTTAAAGGGTTACAAACAACAAAAAATAAAAACATTAAAAATATAGGTAATAATAAAAATATGTGTGAATATCAAACGCGGAGATTCCCATCTCTGAAATTCTTCCAATGGTAAATCTTAAGAATACTTTTAATTTACATAGAATGTGACGGCAGATAAGAACCATTCGGCCCATCTAGTCTGCCCAATTTTCTAAATACTTTCATTAGTCCCTAGTCTTATCTTATAGTTAGGATAGCCTTATGCCTATCCCACGCATGCTTAAACTCCTTTACTGTGTTAACCTCTACCACTTCAGCTGGAAGGCTATTCCATGCATCCACTACCCTCTCAGTAAAGTAATACTTCCTGATATTATTTTTAAACCTTTGTCCCTCTAATTTAAGACTATGTCCTCTTGTTGTGGTAGTTTTTCTTTTTTTAAATATAGTCTCCTCCTTTACGGTGTTGATTCCCTTTATGTATCATATCCCCCTGTCTCGTCTTTCCTCCAAGCTGTGCATGTTAAAGGATCACTATAGTCAACATATAAAAGCAAGAAAGACAGGTCCCCTAGCCTTCTTTGTGGCTTTTATATAAGTTTGCCATTGAAAATAAATACATTTCAGCCCTTTTTATGATATAAACTTACCTCCGTTCCAGCGCCGTGCTCCTTGGCAGGCCACGCGCCCTTTTTAGTCAAAATGACGAAGTAGCAGGGCCCAATCAGACGCTTCTCTTTGAGAAGCGTCATTGCTCCCTGATGCGCATGTGCGGCTTCGTACTGCATCAATCAGGTTATTCATAGAGCTGCATTAAAGGCCGCTCTATGAACGAACAGAGCGCTCTACCGCGCATGTGAGCAGTATGCACATTCGTGAGCTGACTGACAGCTCAGCTCGCTGTCTATGCCCACCCTCCTACGGCAACCCTCCTAAGCCAAAGGTTTGTGTATACAAGCACTATATATAGAGATATCTCACACTATCTATTTCTCTTCCGCACTTGATCGCACTCGCTCTCTCACACACTTGCACTCAATTTTTCAAATAAGTTTACTTACTGTTTGAAGTCAATAGATTCTCCTGCTCGGTCTTCTGCCTTCTGCCTGTCAGCTCGAGCCCACGCTGTGTGCAGGAGGTCGTTATCGCACACACTGTTGGCTCTGATTGCTGACAGGCACGTTCACAGTGCCTCCTGTCTCTAGAAATCACGTTTCATCTATTCGTCCAAGCGTGAAGACATCAAACGTGGGGAATGCGAGTTAGGCTTTCATGAACTTGGAAGTCCTTCTGGTGGCCGTCTGAGTGACTGCAACTGGAGGTGTTCCTAGCTTCCAAGGTGAACACTGTATTTTCTGAGAAAATACAGTGTTTACATGAGAGGCTACAGGGAGCTATTGTTCTCACCTGAACAACCTCATTAAGCTGAAGTTGTTCAGGTGACTATAGTGTCCCTTTAAGTTCCTTTAACCTTTCCTGGTAAGTTTTATCCTGCAATCCATGAACCAGTTTAGTAGCCCTTCTCTGAACCCTCTCTAAGGTATCAATATCCTTCTGAGATACGGTCTCTAGTACTGTGTACAATACTCCAAGTGAGGTCTCACCAGTGTTCTGTACAATGGCATGAGCACTTCCCTCTTTCTACTGCTAATACCTCTCCCTATACAACCAAGCATTCTGCTAGCATTTCCTGCTGCTCTATTACATTGTCTGCCTACCTTTAAGTCATCAGAAATAATCACCCCTAAATCCCTTTCCTCAGATGTTGAGGTTAGGACTCTATCAAATATTCTGTACTCTGCCCTTGGGTTTTTACGTCCAAGATGCATTATCTTGCACTTATCCACATTAAATGTCAGTTGCCACAACTCTGACCATTTTTTTAGTTTACCTAAATCATTTGCCATTTGGCTTATCCCTCCTGGAACATCAACCCTGTTACGTATCATCAGCAAAAAGACATACCTTACCATCAAGACCTTCTACAATATCACTAATAAAAATATTAAAGAGAATGGGTCCAAGTACAGATCCCTGAGGTACCCCACTGGTGACAAGCCCATGCTTCGAATATACTCCATTGACTACAACCCTCTGTTGCCTGTCACTCAGCCACTGCCTTACCCATTCAACAATATTGGAATCCAAACTTAAAGATTGCAGTTTATTGATAAGCCTTCGGTAGCGGAGAGCTGGTATTACACAGCCTATCTCCACTTTAGATCCCAGTAAGGCTCAGGAACAAGTATAATAAATCCACCAAGTAATAATTCCAGCAGGCAAAAAGACTCCAACAATATCCCAATCGCAATCCCAATGACTGGACGACACACAGCATCAGGAGCAGAACTAAACTTTTATTCACAGCAGTTCCTTATAAAGGATTCTCCCATGCAAGGGAGGGATTTCCAGTAATTATAACAGTAACCAATCATACAGAGGTTCCCTCCCCTACTTTCCCTCCACTCAGTCTGACACTTAATCCACTTAATCCTGGTACCTTTTCCCCTGTTTCTTGGATGTACCCCAAAACTGGTCTGGGTGACCAACATACTCAAAATTCACCCAGATCAGACCAGGGGTTCGGGAGTTATAGGGAATAAACGATTATGTAGCCGAAAGGAGTTCCATGTGTTTTGGCCCTGCGGTCGGTCTACGTTCGGGAGGTAAAATAGGTATAAATCCTTGCCATCCATAGATAATACCGGGTTCGCACGAACCCCCTTGTTTGGTAGATGGAACTCACCGAACGAGGAGTCGATTAGCCCCTCCGTTCGTGAGTTCTGGAGCTCTGGAGGTCTCAGCGGTATTCGCGCAATTGAGTGTCCGATTTGAGTTCCAGACACTCGACGACCAAACACCGCTGAGAGTTCGTGCGTAAGATGGCCGCCGCCGCGTGTTCGTCTACTGAATGGCGGCCACCCAGATACAACAATATAACATCAATTAACTGCGGTTAGAGAGGTAATAAGGGTTTAACTAGGGACACACTTCTCTAAGGTGGTCTATGTATTCGGTAGTTTCCGTTCGTATAAACTATGAAGGAAACTACCGAACTAACATACGAATGTCTATGCAATTTTCAATGTACAGGCAGTTTAAACATGAGAACAGTCTTTTAAAATATAATTCTGGCGGACAGTCACATGACATCCGCTACACCTTCTATGTGCAAAAGTGTCAAAAGCCTTACTGAAATCTAGGTAAGCAATGTCTACTGCACCACCCTGATCTATTATTTTAGTTACCCAATCAAAAAAATCAATAAGATTAGTTTGGTATGATCTCCCTGAAGTAAACCCATGTTGTCTCTGATCTTGAAATCCATGTGTTTTTAGATGTTCATCAATCCTATCCTTTAACATGGTTTCCATCACTTTCCCCACTACTGAAGTAAGGCTTACTGGCCTATAGTTGCCCTACTCCTCCCTATTACCTTTCTTGTGAATGGGCACAACATTCGCTAACTTCCAATCTTCTGGGACTACTCCTGTTAACAATGATTGGTTAAATAAGTTAATGGTTTTACTAGTACACCACTAAGCTCTTTTAATAACTTTGGGTGTATTCCATCAGGTCCCATTGACTTATTTGTCTTTACTTTTGATAGTTGAAATAGAACCTCTTCCTCTGTAAACTCACGTGTAATAAATGACTCATTTATCCTTTTTCTCAACTGAGGTCCCTTTCCTTCATTTTCTTCTGTAAATACAGAACAAAAATATTCATTGAGGCAGTCGGCTAGACCTTTATCCTCTTCTACATACCTTCCTTCTTTTGTTTTTAATCTAACTAATCCTTGTTTTACTTTTCTTTTCTCATTTATGTATCTAAAAATGTTTTGTCCCCCTTTTTTACTGACTGTGCTATTTTCTCTTCTGTGTGTGATTTGGAAGCTCTTATAACTTGCTTAGCCTCTTTCTGCCTAATCTTATAGATCATTCTGTCTTCCTCACTCTGTTTGTTTTATAATTACTAAATGCTAAATTTTAGTTTTGTTCTCCCTGTGTTTTAATGTAGACAATAAAGAATGGATTATCAACCTAGGACTGGCCTGCCGGTGTCCCATTTTCTCAGACGTAGCAGAAGCCACATACACAGTGCCAACACAGTGCCCCCATTTTTATTTCCTGCCAATTTAATGGAGGAGACCGAGGCCCCCTGTGGACATGAACAACAGGCTATATGCACTAAACAGCAGTCGTTGGAAGAAAAGAACTTCACTGAGCTCAGGTCTCTATTGAAAGTCTGAACAGATATGGGACATTCGAAGTGTACCAGGTTCCCTAGATCTAGATATACTAATCTGGTATCTGCAGTGTATGGCGCCTCCTTTCTTCATTTGATGGCTATTTGGATTGCGTCCCAGGGGTACGCCTTCAGCAGATTATCAGCTGCGGTTATAATCCAGCCGTATGTACATGCTGCACCCTTTATGTAGGCTTATGTTTCGCAATATCACATTAATAAAAGCCTCTCCTTGGATAATGAGTTGGGCAATCTCTGGCACTCAAAGTATTCAGCTAAACACAGACGTCAGCGAAGCGATTCGCCCCCAGTAAGGAAAGGGTTAACAAATCACCAGTAACAGATAATTAGAAAGACTATGACTCAGCCGGAAGCATTATACTGCCCTCCTCTGGCAATATCTACAATGTTCAGGCAGTAGCAACATTATTTATATTGTAAGGGAGTGGTAAGTGATCGTTTCTTACAATGAGAAAATGTTTTAATGTCCACGTTACTAGCAGCTCAGGGACATTTGCACAGTGGCTGATTGGGTTAAAAAATACAATTGGGGGTACACAGAGAACATGCACTGTATTTTTATGTGTGCTGCTCTTTAATCTGTATTATGGGTTAAATACACTCACATACCTGAATGGGGCCTGACCATTGAGCTAGACCAGGCTTCCTCAAACTCCGGCCCTCCAGATGTTGCTGAACTACAACTCCCATGATTCTATGAATGAAATAGGCTGAGAATCATGGGAGTTGTAGTTCAGCAACATCTGGAGGGACGGAGTTTGGGGAAGCCGGAGCTAGACGGACGCACAGTATTTTAGAAACTCTGCCAGAACAAAAAATTCGGCCATATTGCCAGTGATCTGAGTGTTATTTTCAGACTACCGGTGCAGGTTTATGCTCCGATGCGGTAGCTGGTGCCAATTAAAGGCGGACATATTCTTAACACACAGAAACTGTAGTTCTGGGAGATAAGGTCTACTTTGGATTCTAAACGAGGGAAGCTCCCTCATACTATGGTGCACCAGTCATTTGAAACACAACTGTAACGAATCCCCTAAACTCCCGAGTATACTCTGAGTACATTCGTTTTAAATCTCCCGAGTCCCAAGTGAAGCAGTGATTATAGCTCTGGTATACACAAACATCAGCCAAGACTTGATAAAGGGTACAAGAAGAATGTTTTATTATGGCCCAGTGGCCAGCTTATATACACAGAACCCCAGCATGGGGTCTCCATTCACTTGTACAGTGGGCCCGCTATGCCTCTGTGTCTGGGAGATAAGAGAGCCTACTTTTGCTTAAACTAATTATCTCCCAGGCACTAGAGCAGGGGTCCTCAAACTACAGCCTACAGTCCTGGACCCAGCCCTAGCCACAATAGCGGGGCCCACACGCTGATAGGGTTCATCATGTAGCCCAGGCATTTAAGGCCAACCCTATATCTTTAAAAAATTGCAGCCACAAGTAGTGCTGGGAGGAAGTGACTGCCACAAAGATGGGAGAGCCACGCCGACTCCCATCAGCCACCCTCCTGCAAAAAAAAATAAAAAATTAGCTATGTATGTATGTATGTCAGTATGTGTATGTAATGGAATGTTGCAATAAATCTGCCTGGAAGCAATCGCAGTGAGTGCCTGAGATTTTCTTATTCTTAGTATGTGTATGTATATCTGTATGTATAGAAACATAGTGTGTGTATATGTATGTCAGTATGTGTCTTTGTGTAGGTTTGTCTGTCTGTGTGTATGTATGTCAGTATGTGTATGTCTGTATCTGTATGTATGTCAGTATGTGTATGTTCTTATGTGTGTGTCTGTATATGTCTATGTGTCTGTTTCAGTATGTATAGGAATTTGTTCATATTTTTTTCAAACTATAGTCTGGCCCCCAACAGTGTCTGAGGGACAGTGAACTGGCCCCCTGTTTAAAAAGTTTGAGGACCTCTGCACTAGAGGCACAAAATCCCCCAAAATACACATAACACATATAGGAACACCCAGAAGTATTATGCGACGAGACCAATCTCGCCACATTGCATTGGAGAAGCCTGGTTGCTCGCCTGCTGCCTTTGGACTATGGCCCCCTGTTAAAAGACATCTTTTTTACCTGCAGAAAAGCTTCATTTGTGCTTTTCTGCCTGGGGTTCAGTAGATTTGTTTCAATGTGTTATACCCCAGATAGGAATCCCATGGAGCCCATTTGTATGAAACTGACTGTAAAGACTTTGGCTCCATGGCGATTAAACTGTATTCGTGTGGTCTGAGCGCCATTCACTTAATAATGTGCGCTCAGACCTGAGCTATCTGGGGATATGTTAAATGTATAGTTTTAATGTTATGTGTCTTACCTGGTGTATTTTAACAGTAATGCTTGTTTTATGTATAAAATGGGACTTTGTGTATTGTACAGTATTTTAATGCTTTGTGCTAACCATGTGCATAATGGAGTCTTGTCTCTGTCCTGGGAGATAATTTAATTACTTCTCAATTATCTCCTGGGCAGAGGAGAGGAAGCCAGGATGCATTGTGGTAAAAGTATGTGTAATTGAGTTACCTCTCAGGATAAGGGGGAGGGAATCTGTGGGTTGTAACTAATATGTTACTGGATATTTTATACCTCCCTGTGGGCGGTCCAGTATGTGCAAGACTGTAATAAAAACCAGGCTGGGTGTGCCAGCACCTCAGACCACTGCTTGACCCTCAACACAGAGCCTTGTCTCGTTCTTGGGGGGATTCACTGTATGCTGTTAGAGACTGATTGCCAGGAGTGTAAGCTGATTGTCTGCTTTTCCTGTTCGTCTGCTAGCAGCTATTTGGGAGGTTCCAGTTCGGGAGTTGGAGTGCTATTTTGTATCCAGTTCGGGAGTTTGGTGTTCTGCAGTAGCTGTGCCTGTATCTCTGGAAAGGGGGCCGATCGCCTAAACAGTTTTTACCCCTTGTGTGCAAAACGGCCCGTTACATATTATATCCCCGGATAGTCCAGATCTGAACAACCCACAGTGTCCAAATAGTGGTTCGTGCGGACAATCCTAACAAACAGCGCTCTCCTGTCTTGTCAGGAACAGAAGCAGGCATCGACGCAAGATCACCAACATTCGCACGTGGATATGTCAGACTTTGAGTTCCATACGCTCGACGACCAAGTGTCACTGCCTGCGTTCGTGAGACAAGATGGCCGCCGTTTTCTCCAGCACGTGTTGTTCGATTATACGAACGGCAGCCACACAGGGAGAGTACTTAAGTTTGTGGTTAGTTTGTAGTTAGTGAGCCAGGCGTGTGGCTGGTATTCGGTAGATTGCAGTTTCCGAACTGGGGAAACTTATTTGTGTTCGGGGAAACCTATAACACGAATTAAGAAGGGAACTTAGAATATGAGAAGTAGTGAGTTCGTCACAACGACTCATTGGTCCTTTGGACCGGTAGGGATTATCCCGGACACCACAGTGATAACTGCAAGCTGCCAAAGCCGGGGGATTGCAGATCAATGTAGTGGTGTACAGGTGCGCAGACTAAGATGACGGCAAGTCCAAAAATAAGCATCTACCAGCCCTATGATGGGAGACATGTCTAAACTCCACAGACTTTGCCCAGATTTCTGTTACTGGTACTAAGTATCTGATTTGATAATTCGCATTTGTTGATATTTTTTATTCTCACGTTGCACTGTGACACCTTAAAAACAGAATGGTACGGCAGATAAGAACCATTCGGCCCATCTAGTGTGCCCAATTTTCTAAATACTTTCATTACATTGGCCTTATCTTATAGTTAGGATAGCCTTGTGCTTAAACTCCTTCACTGTGTTATCCTCTACCAACTTAGCTGGAAGGCTATTCCATTCATCCACTACCCTCTCTGTAAAATAATAAACTTACTCGACTATTTAAAAAAAATAACTGAGTTAATGTCTATGCTACATGTTACCTCTGACATACTATTTACTGTATACGTGCTTTCACTGGATTATTGTTTTTGCCTCAAAAAAACACATTGTGGCGGACCAGGTATCAGTCTCTGAGGTTGCCCGAACCCCTGTTTCGTTTTCCGAAAAATACTGTATCCCCTTGTTCGGGAAACGAACGGACTTTGTGTGGTCCCCCTCTTTATTGCTTTATTGACTTAGAACACCGAACTCGAGTGCTTTCCCTGGGCAGCCGTAGTTCATATAATCAAACACACATGGTCCAGTGCATGGACCATTTTGTCTCCTGAACACAGGTAGTAGTACTTGGTCAGTGAATGCGTAGAACTAATTTCAGCTACACGTTCTTGTGAACACCGGTCAGGATGGTACTGTTGCCTGTATACTTTCCAGACTAGAATCTACCAACTGGGGGGAGCATTTACTACCAGAGTCAAGGGGAGCATTTGTCCAAGAACTCCCGAACGAAGACCGACCACTGCCCTAGATTCTCTGGAACTCTTTTGGGGCATCACCTTGTGGCCAGTCAGTCAAAACTTCTACCGAATAGCGATCCCGTTCCACCGAACTAATCTGAGCGCTCTTCAAATATGTTGTACGCTCAGACCCAGGCTCTTCATGGATATAAGAATCGTGGGGTTCCTGTAATGTTGACCGCTGGGGACATACGGGCTACAGAAGCCACCAGAAGCAACCATAAGGAGTAGCTTATTGGTGGGCTACTCGACTAGCTCTTGAGCCCCCTAGGACGCGAGGCAAGCAAGGGATCTGCCTGAGCATTTGGGGGGCGGCAAAAAGTGCCGCCCAAGGCAGAAGCCTTGTTTGCGTGATTGTAGGGAACAGCTATACCAGCTTTGGATTACTATACTGGCTAGAATCACTAGCTCTTGTAAAAGCTACACAGCCAGACCTGCTATACTCTCTTGGAGGAGAGTATAGCTGGATCCAGGAGTTTGGTCCAGGGTGGGAAGGGACGAAGAGACCCCAGCCAAGCTGTAGCGGCTAAGGGGCTACGGTGCTTATGGTGTCTGGTGCGGTGCTTATAGTACTCAAGGCGATGAGGAAGCAGCAATTGGCGGAGGCACCCAGTTGGGGTGCCAGACGGTCCATCACAACTTTATTTCCTACAATTTGGAAATCTTGCTAATTTGTCTGATGTGTGAAGGGGCTGTACACAGTGGGGGAGGGGGGCAGGGAATCCTTTTATTTATATTGTTAATCTGTGAATCACCTCTTTCTTATTTTGCTTAAATTAACATTAAAAGGTACTTGCATTTAGCAAAAGGAAGATGAAGAGATTTTCTCGTGACTCCATACAGACACTGTGTTATGACTATCATATTATATAGCATCGCACAATGAATATGGACTATAACTACTATGAAACCAGTACAGTTACACATTCCCACCTATAGGGTGCAGACTGGAGGGTGGCCAACTCGAACATGGCAAAGCAGTTTACTGCTGAAACAATTTATGAACTTGGCTATTAACACAGCCATTTATTAATAACGTAAATACGCTTTTAGATAAATCCTCTTACCCACTCCTGCCTGTCGTAGAGTGTGTTCTTCATGTAGAATCAGTTTGTTGTCTTCTTCCAAACCCACCACCAATTCATTAGTCTACGGGAAAAGGCAAGATAGTATAAAAGATGTTGCTACTGCACTCGGGGTACAAACCCTAATTCGAAGCTCCCTCAAGAAGGAACCACTCACCCCTCGATAAATCCAAGAACAGCACACATCCAGACTCATAGTTCCACTCTCATGCATTCACACTAATAGGACCTCACAGCCATGGCAATACGGTTTACTGCATATTTCTAAAAGAAGAAAATCTACCACTACCAGGCATTGAAAGCCATGTTTCGGTGTTTGCAGATAACACAAAACTTTGTAAAGTAATAAAATGTGAGCAGGATATTGCTGTGCTGCAGAGGGATTTGGATAGATTGGGGGACTGGGCACTAAAATGGCAGATGGAATTTAACGTAGAGAAATGCAAAGTTATGCACTTTGGGGTTAAGAATGGACAAGCAATTTACACCCTAAATGGTAGTGAATTAGGGATAACCACACACGAGAAGGATTTGGGAATTGTTATAGACAACAAATTAGGCAGCAATATGCAATGTCAATCTGCAGTTGCTAAGGCCAGTAAGGTTTTGTCATGTATAAATAGGGGCATAAATTCTCGGGATGAAAATATAATTTTGCCTCTTTATAAATCGCTGGTAAGACCACACCTTGAATGTGCAATTTTGGGCACCTGTTCTAAAGAAAGATATCATGGCACTAGAAAAAGTGCAGAGGCGGGCTACAAAATTGATAAAAGGAATGGAGCATTTTAGTTATGAAGAAAGGTTAAAAAAATTAAATCTGTTTAGTTTGGAAAAATGGCGCCTGAGAGGGGATATAATAACTTTATACAAATATATTCGGGGCCAGTACAAACCTTTATCTGGAAATCTATTCATAAACCGGGCTATACATAGGACACGAGGTCACACATTTAGGCTGGAAGAAAGGAGATTTCATCTAAGGCAAAGACAAGGTTTTTTTTACAGTTAGAGCAATAAGGATATGGAATTCTCTGCCTGAAGAGGTGGTTTTATCCGAGTCCATACAGATGTTTAAACTGCAATTGGATAAATACTTGCAAAAACATAACATACAGGGATATCATTTCTAATTAGTGGGGTAATAGCTGCTTGATCCAAGGAGACATCGGACTGCTATTTCGGGTCAAGAAGGAATTTTTTCCTAGTTTGTTGCAAAATTGGAAGCACTTCAGACTGGGGTTTTTGCCTACTTTTGGATCAACAGCAAAAACATACAGGTGATACTCAAAAAAATTAGAATATTGTGCAAAAGTTAGCTTATTTCAGTAATGCAACGTAAAAGGGGAAACTAATATTTGAGATGCATTACATGCAAAGCAAGATCGTTCAAGCCTTGATTTGTCATAAGTGCGATGATTATGGCTCACAGATCATAAAAACCCCAAATCCACAATCTCAGTAAATTAGAATATTACATGCAATCAATAAAACAAGGAGTGTACATAGAACAATATCGGACCTCTGAAAAGTATAAGCATGCATATGGACTCAGTACTTGGTTTGGGCCCCTTTTGCAGCAATTACTGCCTCAATGCGGCGTGGCATGGAAGCTATCAGCCTGTGGCACTGCTGAGGTGTTATGGAAGACCTGGATGCTTCAATAGTGGCCATCGGCTCTTCTGCATTGTTCGGTATCATGTCTCTCATCTTTCTCTTGGCAATGCCCCATAGATTCTCTATGGGGTTCAGGTCAGGCGAGTTTGCTGGCCAATCAAGCACAGTAATCCCATTGTCATTGAACCAGGCTTTGGTGCTTTTTGCAGTGTGGGCAGGTGCCAAGTCCTGCTGGAAAATTAAGTCAGCATCCCCATAAAGCTCATATGCGGAAGGAAGCATGAAGTGCTCCAAAATCTCCTGGTAGATGGCTGCGTTGACCCCGGACTTAATGAAGCACAGTGGACCAACAACAGCAGATGACATGGCTCCCTAAATCAACACAGACTGTGGAAACTTCACACTGCACTTCAAGCATCTTGCAGTGTGTGCCTCTGCATTCTTCCTCCAGACTCTGGGTCCTTGGTTTCCAAATGAGATGCAAAAGTTGCTCTCATCAGAAAAGAGGACTTTCTTTAGCCCAGGTAAGACGCTTCTGACGTTGTTTGTTGTTCAGGAGCGGCTTGACAAGAGGAATACAACGTCTGAAGCCCATGTCCAGAATCCGTCTGTGTGTGGTGGCTCTTGATGCACTGACTCCAGTCCACTCCTTGAGAAAGTCCCCAACACTTTTGAATGGCCTTTTCCTGACAATCCTCTCCAGGCTGTGGTCATCCCTGCTGCTTGTGCACCTTTTTCTTCCACACTTTTCCCTTCCACATAACTTTCTATTAATGTGCTTTGATACAGCACTTTGGGAACATCCAACTTCCTTCACAATTACCTTTTGAGGCTTTCCCTCCTTATGGAGGGTGTCAATGATGGTTTTCTGCACAACTGTCAGGTCAGCAGTCTTCCTCATGATTGTGATTCCTACCGAACCAGACTGAGAGACCATTTAAAGGCTCAGAAACCCTTTGCAGGTGTTATGGCTTACTTAGCTGATTAGAGTGGGACACTGTGAGCCTAGAATATTGCACCTTTTCACAATATTCTAATTTACTGAGATTGTGGATTTAGGGTTTTCATGAGCTGTAAGCCGTAATCATCGCATGTATGACAAATCACGGCTTAAACTATCTTGCTTTGCATGTAATGCGTCTATATCATATATTAGTTTCCCCTTTTAAGTTGCATTGCTGAAATAAATGAACAATATTCTAATTTTTCGAGTATCACCTGTATGTGAGGAGGGCTGAACTTGATGGACCCAAATCTCTTCGCAGCTATGTAACTATGTAACAAGAGGACATAGTCTTAAATTAGAGGGGCAAAGGTTTAAAAATAATATCAGGAAGTATTACTTTACTGAGAGGGTAGTGGATGCATGGAATAGCCTCCAGCTGAAGTGGTAGAGGTTAACACAGTAAAGGAGTTTAAGCATGTGTGGGAAAGGCATAAGGCTATCCTAACTATAAGATAAGGCTAGGGACTAATGAAAGTATTTAGAAAATTGGGCAGACTAGATGGGCCGAATGGTTCTTATCTGCCGTCACATTCTATGTTTCTATGTATCTAGTAGGGGTCAACTCAGTATATTTTCCAGGGCTGATGCCAATAACTAGTGTGGATATTCTGTACACTTAATGATTTCAAAAAGCAACACCATTTCTACACAAACCTGGCATTAACGGAACATGCTCACAGCAATCACACTCCTATCATGCTCAGGCAGCCAGTACACGCTGGGATCAGAGGGATTGCAGCATGTACAGTGCTGTTACCATCCTAAACCTTAAAATAAAGTACAAAAAAAACCAACAGATTGTGAATACAAAAACGGGAAGCATGACCTGCTGATGAATCCGATATCAATCATTCAGAACAAATAATAAACTATCACACCAAAAATGGATACAAAGTGAAAAGCGAGATGATACATAGTATAATAATAAAATTAACCCCAAAACAAAACCAATAGATATACAATAGCTGGTCAATAAACAATCGCTGAGGGTCGGAGGAGTTTATATAGCAAATGTCAAAAAATGTAAAGATGCATGAAAAAATGAAAAAAGTTAGATAAAACAAATAATAAGACGTATAAAGTATATTCAGATATTAGGATAAGGTTTATTTGAAAAGCCTTTATTCAAACCTTCTTGATCAAGGCTGTGTAAATTACAAATCCAATAATCTTCTGTTATCAAGCTCTTTTCTCTCCTCTCCAACGGGTGAAGACCTGTTTGGGGATTTGTGGTTTTTTAATATTCCCTATGTGCTCTCCAAGTCTACTTTTCAGTAGTCGTTTGGTACATTCGAACAGTTTGATCCATTTACCGCTTGTATAAGGGAGCCAGATCGGTTAACTCTGCTTACTATAGGGTTTAAAGTGAATGTAATATATTTATTATAGCGGTAGGCAGCGGCCAGCACGCTGTGACAGTGTTTCTATCTTAGTGACTTATTGGAACATTGTATTTACCATTTATCGTTACACATTTTGTATCCATTTTTGGTGTGATAGTTTATTATTTGATATTGGTACATCAGCTCCTGTTTGATACGTTACATCCGGATAGTTTTTTTTATACTAATCACGTATTATATGAAATTACAGGCAGAGAGCAGGTAAATATGTAGATATACCTTCGATCCGTGAGCCTGGTGGATTATCTTCATTTTATCTGTATGGAGACAGAATTACTATTGATGAACTGGCAGGTGATTCCACAAGTATTGAATAGAGCATATAAAAAAACACAGCGAAACGCAGCGCATATACAACGCACAGCGAAACGCAGCGCATATACAACGCACAGCGAAACGCAGCGCATATACAACGCACAGCGAAACGCAGCGCATATACAACGCACAGCGAAACGCAGCGCATATACAACGCACAGCCTAACGCAGCGCATATACAACGCACAGCCTAACGCAGCGCATATACAACGCACAGCCTAGCGCAGCGCATATACAACGCACAGCCTAACGCAGCGCATATACAACGCACAGCCTAACGCAGCGCATATACAACGCACAGCCTAACGCAGCGCATATACAACGCACAGCCTAACGCAGCGCATATACAACGCACAGCCTAGCGCAGCGCATATACAACGCACAGCCTAACGCAGCGCATATACAACGCACAGCCTAACGCAGCGCATATGCAACGCACAGCCTAACGCAGCGCATATACAACGCACAGCCTAACGCAGCGCATATACAACGCACAGCGAAATGCAGCGCACATACAACGCACAGCAAAACGCAGAGCATAAAGGGCGAGATTACATCTAGTTTAGCACAGGAAACTCAAAGTAGAACTTGGTTTTGTTTAGACAGACTATCTTGCGGTGCTGGGCATCTCCCGTATAAAATCATCCTCTCACCCACTAATACCCATCATTATCCTTTCTGCGCCCTATACAGCGTGCCTATAGTGGTCCTTTAAAGAAAACATTTCCAAAGAAAGATGGTTTCCCACGATCCCAACGAAGTCAACACTTACCATAAGAATAGGTCTTAAAAGGCGGCGGTAAACCTGCCCTCGTCACGATATCTGCAAAGACAGAAGAGACAAGCTTTCAGTGAATGACACGTAGCATAAAAACAGAGCGCGAGAGAGAGATATATATATATATAGGAAGATATGTTACACAATAGATCTCAACACCGAGCGCTCAGCACAGAGTGATTCTAACGGCAGTTACCGCACAAGGTTCAACCACCAGAGATACGTCCCCGCCCTTACACAGCTACGTTACGTCCCAGCCCATACACAGCTACGTTACGTCCCAGCCCATACACAGCTACGTTACGTCCCAGCCCATACACAGCTACGTTACGTCCCAGCCCATACACAGCTACGTTACGTCCCAGCCCATACACAGCTACGTTACGTCCCGGCCCGCCCACACAGCCTACGTTCGTCCGGCCCATGCGGCTACATTCGTCAGCCCATACACAGCCTACGTTACGTCCGGCCTTTACAGCCTACGTTACGTCCAGCCTTACACGGCCTACGTTCACGTCCAGCCGCGCAGCTTCACGTTCGATCCCCGCCCTTACACAGCTACGTTACGTCCCAGCCCATACACAGCTACGTTACGTCCCGGCCAATACACAGCTACGTTACGTCCCGGCCCATACACAGCTACGTTACGTCCCAGCCCATACACAGCTACGTTACGTCCCAGCCCATACACAGCTACGTTACGTCCCAGCCCATACACAGCTACGTTACGTCCCAGCCCTTACACAGCTACGTTACGTCCCAGCCTTTACACAGCTACGTTACGTCCCAGCCCTTACACAGCTACGTTGCGTCCCAGCCCTTACACAGCTACGTTGCTTCCCAGCCCTAGCTACGTCCATTATGCTTTTTGGCATTAAAGAAACACTTCAAGCAACAAAATCCCAGAGTAAATGGTCCAACCACTGGTCCTGCCGGACATGTGCTGCCAGAAGCTCCGAATACGGAGATAAGCCGAGCTGTGGAGGGTCACCCTCAGCCGATGAGACAGCGAGGTCAGTGTGGGACACTCATGCAAGTTGTTAAACCGATCTAAAAATTATTTGACAAATTACTAGGGGATGGTGTCAATGCATTCCTGTCACTATAACCACTACAGAGGGCTGTAGATTTATGGTACTTAGAGTGTTCCTTTGAGAGCTGTCATTTTGCAATATCTGGGATCTCAGTTTTGGCTGCCTTTGATTTGCACAGCGCCCAGGGATTGCCACGGCAGCTGTCAGACAGAAAACTACTGGAGTATATTCCATAATTTGGGTGGAGACTTCCAGTGCTCAGATTACTGACCATTCTTCACATGTTGCATGAACTCCCCCACGCGTTGGTCTAGGTCAACGCCATGATATACAATAGGCCGGAAATTCCGGTGCGCAAAAGAGCGAACTAGACGCACCGTGACAGTGACTTCTTGGGACATCAGCAATTATCCTAGAAACAAAAGCAAAGAAAAATGGAAATACACAGAATGCACATTAGCAGAACACCTGAGAGAGACACGGTGAGGGTAAAGGTTATAAAGGGTTTAAGGCAGATAGAGAGGGTCACAGTGGGTGTAAGGGGGGATCACAGTGAGGTTAGGGGTGTAGAGGGGGTAATAGTGAAGGTAAGGTGGGATAGAGAGGATAATAGTGAGGGTAAGAGGGGTAGAGAGGGTCACACCGAGGTTAGGGGGACACAGGGAGTAATAGTGAGGTTAATGGGGAATAGAGGGGGTCACAGTGGGGGTAAGAAGGATAGAGGGGTCACAGTGGGGTTATTGGGGTCACAGTGGGGTTATTGGGGTCACAGTG